TACCTTATAGGTTATAGTAGCGTTATAGGTTATTAATAGCCTGCTCTATCTACGCCTTATATTATTCCTTATAAGTAATAACGATATCGTTAACGTAGAAGAATAGGATTAAACCGCAGCGTAGAAAATAACACGGTTCTTACGGTACTATCTAGAAGCCGTCCGCTAAAAGGATAGCCGAAAAGTGCTTTTACTAGAGTAGTAGAGACTCCTTAAGTCTATATAACGCCTTTTTCAGGTGTAAACGACTCCTAGGGGCTAAAAAGCCTAGCGGCGGGTATATAAAGATATCGTGGGGGAGGGGCGCGTATATAAACGCGTTTATAACGTTAAATTATAATAGCGTAAGGTTAAATCGGGTAGCGATAGCTATTAACGCGCGGAATAACTATCCGACTAGTATAATTATATACGTCTCCTGGAGCAAGGATTAATACTACTAATCTCCTCGCACTATAAGCTTTACCTTATATTTATATAAAAATCTATACTTATTAAACTTATATATTATTATATATATCGAATTAAGAACCTAATATCTATCTGCTATAGGCGCCGGTACCCGTATCCACGACCCTATCTTCTTATAGCTCCGTAGATAGTCTTCTTATACCTATCGGAATAGGTAGCCGTAAGAGTGTAAGGGTATATTGCGAGGGTTCTTCGGAGGAGGAGGGAGGTCTTTACGGTGGATCTTTACGGCCGCCGGGGTAACCGCTAGAGTAACCGCCGGGGTTATATTTCCCGAGATAGCCTCCTGGGTAATACTTCCGGTGGCTATTACTAGGGCTATGGATTCGTAGGGTATTATTAAGCATCGTTATAGCGCTATAGACGTAGACCTTTTTAACCGTAATTTAGTTAGCGGAGTCTTATTTAATATATATATATATCCGGGGCGTAACGGCTAGCGTTAAATACTATAACCTAATAATCTTTTTTCTAGCTATCTCCTTACCTAATTAGTCACGCTCCCCTATCTATAAGGAGCCTTATAGCCGTAACTACAGGGGTATTATAGCACCGTGTTCCTCTATCTATAAGGAACCCTGCGGCCGTAACCGTAAAGGATTCACGATTTCCTAATATCACGGCTACTATTAGCGCTATAACCGATAGCGGGGTTACTAGTAGAGTAGGAAATAGTGGATCGGGCGGATATAAATAGTGATTAGGCGCTATACCGGCTAAATCACACTATTCGTGACCTAAATCTTATCCTAATTAACTTAAGATAGCCTCCTCTACCCCTTTACGGCCGGGTATTACGGACTATAACCTTAACGGCTTTGCCGTTAAGGAAAGGGATTCAGGGGCGTTTATCCCCGGATCTAATAATTCAAAATAAGTAGTTATATAAAGGGGGGGGTCCTTAGCTTATACGTCCGTAAACGGCCGTGAATCTCTAGCCCTCTCCTACTTAACCTAACTAATCAGGTCTTCTAATTCCTCCTCGGTTAATTAATAGAGGTTATCCTTAAAGGCGTCGATATCGCCGCTAAAAAAGTCACGTTTATCGAAATCTATATCGCACGTGCGAATAACGCGGTTATAGTTACGGCGGCCTAGTATCTAGATACGGAAAATATTAGTGGAATCGTAGCCGATAAGGTAGCCGATATAGGCACGAGGAGCGATACGATTTAATAGCTTATTAGCGCCCTTTTAGGCGTCCTTTATTATCGCGTACGCCTTATAGCCGTAAGCTCGAAGATATAATAAAATCGGCTTCCTTTTAAAGAGGACCTCGTATAGCGTTTTCTAATCCTCTTACTACCTTTATAGCGTCCGGTTATAAACGTATATAGCCGTGGGAATAGCCTTAGGCTATATAAACGGCGGTAGTTTTGCGTGGATATTTATCGTACGACCCTTCGAAATAACCACGGTAGTAGCGTGTTCGGCACCCCCGTTCTGCGCTTAAGTGTTAGTAGTAGATATCTCTAAAAGGATACCCTTGTTACGGAGGAATTAGGTGATATCGTGGGATTAAGATAGCTCGTTATCAGATTCGAAAACGCGTACCTTATAGTCTAATTAGCGGTCTACCTAGGCGAGGAATTCCTTAATTATTACGAGGATATCCACTACTAGCTTACTCTTTATAATGTAGGTGGCCGTAAAACCACTATAACGGTCGGTGAAAAATATAAACCGCGAGTCCCCGTTAGATATTCGGTTAAAATCCGTGAAATTAATCGCCTATTACTCCCCTGCGTAGGTAGATACGGTACGAGGGCGCCTACTAATATACCGCTTTATCTTTATAAGCTCGTAGGCCTTATAGTCGATAGTTATTAGTCCCTTGATTTTAACCCCCTGCGTCTGCTCTTCTAGGTGCTGAAATAGTATAGGGCCTGCGTGCCCTAGCCGTAGATACTATAGGATGCCCTTTACCGTGCTTAGATACCGTATTATCGATTTATAGACGGTTTTTCAGGTGGTAGCGGAAGAAGAAGAGCCTAGAAAAGTAGCCGTAGATTAGTTAGAGGGCACGTATTTAATAATGGTTTAATCGAAGCAGTGACTTAGCTAGCATAATATAGATCTATCGGAGCGCCGAATATAGTTATTTAGTGGCTTTTAATCCTGCTAGTATCCTCGAAGATATAGGCGTTAGTTAGAGATTAAATTATAGGTAAAATCCTCGTAGTATACGACGTTTAATAGCCTAAAATCAAGGCCTCCTATTAGTCCGTTTAATCTAATAGTCACGTTACCATAACCTTTAATAGGCAGGGATAAACTACCGGCTACTACGTAGTCTCCCTATATAGCGGGTATAAAATCAGAAAAACGGAAAAAATCGTTAAAGATATAAATAATAGCGCCGGAATCGAGGATAGCAGAGGCTTAAAGAGGGTAACTAGTAATAGCGGCTCCTACTATAAAGCTAGCGGCGTGGGAGATACTACTAGGGGCGAGTCACGTCTCTTTAAGCTATACAGAATCCCGGCCTATATCCTTCTTTACCTTCTTTACGGCGCGTAGTTCTTCTACTTCCGCGTATATAGCAGGGTTATATTTAAGGATCCGGTCGATAGTTATTTTAGTGCTTTTATGGGGCGTTTAGCCGTTAAATGCTATCTCCGGAAAGATATAGTAATAGGCGTTAATATCGTGATACGGCATAGTATATACTCGATAGGGTTCCCCTTATCGGAGGGCAGATTAACGTCTTTTAGAAGGAGAACGGTTAGTTAAAGTAGTAGAAGGTATAGCTATAAATACCGCGGTAGTAGGATTCTTAGCTTTATTCTTCCTATAGCCGCCCTTTTTACGGGGCTTAGCCGTGGCCTCTTATCGTATAGGCAGGACCACGACGTGGTCTATAAGGGATCTAGGGAGGATCCACTCCCTGATTAAGGGCTTCGGACCTCGGGTATTAGGATATAACAGGGGCGGATACCGGAAAAGACCGGATAGGATCCAAATAACATAGTACCTATAATAGAGTCTTTACCACCTAAATTAAGGGTATAAGAGACTTATATAGATATAACTTAATATAATATATATACACGAGATTTCTGCTCTACTAAGTTGATCATCTAAGTGCTATTTGACGTGCGATACCTCTAAGGTATCTTTACCCTCCTTGCTTCCGGTATATAGTGTAGGGAATATTATAGCGTGGTGGCTACCGCGTTTTCCTTAGTCCTTAAGTCTAGTATTGCTATATTTCTGACCGAGGGTATAAAGGTCTTCGGGTATAATTACTTAGTTATCTATAAAGCGTCCCTTAGCCTTAGTCTAATCGCGGCTAGTATAGGGGCGTATATATCTAAAGAAGTCTATAACCTATATATACGTAGCGGGCTTCGAACCGGTATCTTTATAGCTTTATAGTAGTAGCTACTACTTATTTAACTACTCCCCGAGCTTTTTAAGGCTATTCGTAGGATAATAAGTATATTTAATATACTCTTCGTGGGTATCGGTTTAGCGGGTGGCCAGGTACTAATCCGTGTCGCGTTTAACGGCTTTGTATACCTTATAAGGTATACCTCCTCGTAGTAATTATCTGCGGCTTTAGTCGATAGTATTAACCTACTAGATTAGTATAGCGTTAATCCCTTTTAGGTAGTTATCGTATTACGCTTATAGGATCTTCTAGCGCGCGATTTCGACGTCGTACGCCTTCTGGCCGGCCTCCGTAAGGTTAAGATATTATATAGGGGTACGCCTAGGCATTATTAAGGGGAAAGAGTCGTAATTCGGTATTATAGGCTTTTCGGGGGACTAAGTCGGATCGACTAGGCGGAGAAACCTCTACACGTTATTATAGGTGGTAACCGATTCGTATAGGCGTCACTAGAGCTCCAACCCTTATAGGTTTTGTAGGTAACAGAGCTAAGATACGATATCTTAATAGTTAGTTATAGATTAACATGCTATATCGACGCGGCTAGATAGCTTCTTAAATCGATAGTAGTAAAGGTAAAAGGGTATATCTTCACTTAGTAAGTAAGACTCTTAATTATCAGATAAAGCATAGTCAAAATCGTTATAAAATAGGTCAAAATTTAATTAAGGTAATTATGTGCCATTTTAACTGTCTCCGACCATCAGGGAAACGCTGCCACCGTATTTAATATAGTGTAGATTCTGTAAGCGTCCACCCGGATTATACTCTTGGCAATCCGGCCTATTACGTAACCGAAAAGACTGTGGTCTGTTCGACAGTAATTACTTCGTACATTCGCACTATATCCGTTCGAAAGCACACCGATTCGCTCAGTCTTTTTCAAGTCAAGACCCTATTCCTATGTAAGGTAATTACCTGGTAGACTTCAAGCCACCGTCACTTCGTAGATTAGTGGATGTCCACGCTAACAACCGCTACCAACCATGCCGCAGCTTAAGGTACCGACAAGCACACCCCGTACTTCCCCAGAAGGCACCACGCCCACCCGGATGGATAGATTTGTACTACGTATCGTTTCCTTGGTTCCATCATCCACTTTTTGGTCGTTCCTTCATCAAGCTCCCGCAACACGATGGTACCCAGCAAATTTGTAGCATAATATCGCTCCGTTGCCTTTATGATAACGCATGTCTATCATGTCCTGCCATCACGCGAGAGGTGTGTACCGCAGGTAAGGTAGGAACAAAATTACAGACATCTTGGTACTATTTGTAGGTACAGTTATTCATTGTCTTCAGTGAACATCTGAACTACAAAGCACGATTGGAGCCAGGTTTATCAAGTGTCGGATATGGATACTATGCGATTACCTAATTCCTGTACATAGAGTGACATTTCTCAAGGGTAGTCGTAATCACAACACCACAACATCACTTCAACCCCCCCACCTCACAACCTCACAACTTCCCAACAGAACAAAGCCACCCACCGCAGGAACCTCGAGCCTCCTTTCGGTAACCCCTCTACCTATATAGTCAACCTTCCCTTCATTACGACGCTCTGTCCTGAAGTCGTTCAACTACCTGGGTATCTGGCAAGTTCGCCTGTCGTTGCGCCGGTGCCTCGCTCTTTTACCGGCAGCGTTCGACAACTTCGTCGTATGCCTATACCCCCTACAACCTGTCTGATGTTCAAAGCCTCGTTTACGTTCTTTTGCAGCTGCTAGGTCCAGTCAAGTATTGACCGGGCTGGTATGAGACGGATCCAGACAGTGTGCTCGAAAAAGAATCACAGTCATCCTTATCCCAACTCTCCCTCCGTCTCCTTCGGTCCGTCGTTTGTCCAACGGCGTCACTTCTCTGTCCTCCCTCCTCTCGGTTTCCCATTCTCTATGCATCTTTCTCCAGCCTCTTACTCTCCTGTATCGCCATTTGTCTACTCCGGTCTTTGGCCGATTCTTGAGTTGGAGGGAACCGAGCTCAGAACATAACTCCTCGCCTTTGCCGAGCAACTGATCTGGGCCAGGAAACGGGAAACTGCCCAACAGAAAGCTCTCCACATCATGTTTGGTTTGCTTTCGGGTCTGGGTAAGCCTTAAAGTCTAATATTTCTCTTTTTTATGCACATCTATATGCTACGGGTGCTCCACACCCAGTTCATCGTCGCCCCTCTGCCCAAATCCCGCTTCACGTTGGTTGACCTCCGCTCTTGTGACCTTCATTTCTCTCCTCCGTTTGCCCTCCTGCCTCGCATATTGGAGGTATGGATGGATGACTTTAGTCTGAAGCAACCTGGGGTGGAACGACCAAGTGGTCCAGGTGAGGTGCTGCAGTCTTGTTGGACCGGATAATGGGGGGAGGGGGGGAGTACCCGTCATCTGTCTGTTATATTCACCCTATCTCCCAGCATTCACCCCCATCACCTCGATTTCTTGCATTGCCGCTTAAATCCCCCCACATTATAAACTCCCCGACGGTCTTAGGCCTCTCGGGCGTTTCTTTTGACTCACATTTCTCTAGTTGCCTTGCCAAGGATGGCCAATGTCGACCAGAAGGATATCCCACCGCCAACCCCCGTCACCCTCCCGCATGATCATCCTGACTTCCACCGATTGCCTCCCGCCCCGACCAAATCCACGACCCCTTTGGTCAAGTACCTACAATCCATCTCACGGTCCTCTGACGTAACTACTCCCATATTTGAGGCGCTCGGCGTTCACGTAATTCCCGTCCGGTCGCCACGAGACCTCATACCGGACCCGGCCTATATCCCCGACTTTGACGCTTGGGACCAGTTATCTCCCGACGAGGCCCAAGAGCGCAATGACGAAACGAAGCGACCGCTCAACACCGGAGCTCAGTCGCCTGGTTGCCAGACCTACCAGGACCGCAAGCGAGAGCTATCCATTGACAATGAGGATGCCTTCCGCGTCGTCACGCGTACGCCCCCGCCCACAGGAAAGCAGCCAATTCGTTTGGGCAACTCTCGAGAATTCTTTAACTGTCTCGAGTCCATAGCAGGCTTTTGGGATGACACCCCGAGACCTCAGCAACCGGTTACTACCGAATCGCCCGAGACAGACAAGGACAAGAGCTCGCAAGGCGGCGGTCAACCTGGTAACCGCCAGCCTGTTACCTGTCGCACGGCCGCTGGGGCATCCATGCCGCATGAATACCGCCTGGGCCTTGTCCATGGCTTCTTGAAGCTAGTCGCCTACGACTTCGGCTGCAGCCCCTCCCCCTCCCGCGTCGAGCCCCGCCTGCACCTCAAAGAACACAAGGCCGATACGCCGTCTCACCCAGCGCCGCGTAACTCTTACATTCCTTCCACCTGCACCTTCATCTTCCGCAGTCCGCGGAGTCGTGACGAAGCGCGCAAGGGGCTCGTAGACGGACCCATCGCCGCCATATCGGCACGCGCGACCACCAACTTCGCCGCAGAGATTGATCATAACTTTGACTTTGCGCGCGAGCTTATCGCAGCCCTCCTTACCGCCCAGCACCGAGCTCGCGAGGGCAAGACAGAGCAGCGCCCCGGGCAGGGTCAGTGGTGGACCACCAGGAAACGCTGGGGCGGGGGCTCCGGTGGACCCATCGGCCGCGAAATCGAACGAGCCGCGGAATGGGACGCTGCCCAGGGCGGCAAAGACGGCCCAGTCGCTAAAATGAATGCCGCCACCGCAACAGTATCTGGTTCATCTTCCGGCTCCTCCCCCGGGATGCCGGCACCCAAGCGCCCTCGCAAGCAGATGAGCATCTACGACAGTTACCGCATGATCCGCCCACCATCAGCGTCCTGGGACCCCAGAACACGTTACGAGGCCATCGGGAAAGTGCCCGGTTCGGGGTACGACGACATCTTTCTCGTCAGCTGCCTGTTCCACCACGTCAGCGTCTTGCGCGTCCGAGTGCCGGATCGGTTGTTGGAGGTGCTGCAGGGAGCTAGCGAGGGAGAGGAACCGCGCAGCTGGGGCGAACTCGAAGTACGCCGTACCCCGTGGTTTGACCTTTTTCTTGTTGAGGAGCGACTCGAGGCCCTGAAAATCGTGTGGGCTGTGATGGCATGGATGATGCGCAAACCCGAAGAGGAGAACCGGGATGGGGACGTCACCATGGTCGGGACGTGAGGGGGGGAAGGAGGCAACACAAAGCGGCAAGAACGCTCCTAGTTTTATGGCTTTTTATGATTAGCGATTACGAATAATCGTAATGCGTCGGAGGTAGAAACAAGCCCCCCCTTTTGGTGTCTATACGGCGGGTAAAAGGGGCCAGGGTTGATTTGGGTGGGACGGTCTAATCCCATTATCGTCATGACCAAAAACGAGGAGAAAAAAAACGCCAGTAACTACTTTCCACACGAGGAAGAAAAATTAGACATCTGTAATCGGGCCATCACCTTAGATGATTGGGACTCGTACAAAGCAAGCACGACTTTTATGAACCAGGTAATTTATTTTAACTTAACCCGAAAATCCCCAATGGAAAGTAATTACTCAAACGCCATGCCATGATATAAAAGCGCCCTTCGCTTCAACAACTCGACCAGTGTATATCTAAACCCTCCTCAACCGCCGATGGTGGGAGCAGGGGAAAACCATCATCCACCAAAACTATCAGCCCTTTGACCCTCGCAGTTTTCGTCTCCCATGACCGACCCTTCATCCCCTAAGAAGCTTCTGGTCCTTCCTCTCGGCAACCTGCTGCGTCGAAAAAGAGCAGAACCGATCCTTAATGGCAACAACCTCGTACGTGCCTTCCTGGCTGGTCCGCACGACTTTGCTGTGCTCATACGAGACGTCATGACGCGTCTCCAGGACCACGCTCTTCTGGCCCTTCTTCGCGTTGGTGCTCCGCGTATAGGTAAACTCGAACGGCGGGGTCCCCCAGAACTCGAAGAGCATCTCGACCTCGTTACCCTCGTGGATGTCGACTCGCGTCACGCGTCCTTGGCTCATCTTCACGGCCGGCAGCGGGTGGATGGTCTTGGTGAGGTTGACGGAGGCACGGCATTCCGAGGCCTTGTCGGAGACGGACGTGATGGTGAACTCGCCAGGGGTCTCGGCGATGCGGCGGAAGTTGGTCGTTTGGGACTTGGCCTTTCGTTGCTGACCCTGGAAATCGTACCAGACCTCGAAAGGCGGCGTGCCGGAAAGGGTGTAGGCAATACGTTCACCCACGCAGAAATCTTCCCGACTCTCCAGAGGATAGATAGCCGGCGCGTCGTAAAGATGAACCTGGACCGAGGGAGCATGCATGTCGTATCTCTGTTGGCAGCCCTTGGCATCTCGGACTTCCCGGATGCGCACATGTTGGATGCCCAGCTGGAGGTGTTGCCGAGGGATCTGAATGCCATGCGAATTTGAGTTGATCGACGGGATCCTGTATGTTTCGGGGACGGTTGCGCCATGATGCTTGATCTCTAGCTCGACGTAGAAGGGTGCGACGCCGTTCAGTGTGATGGGTATCTTGTCCTCGTTCTCTTGCTCCTGCTTGCAGTACTTGAAGGATTGACCGGGTTTTACAAAGGCTGCAGATGGTTTGGCATTGACTCGCTGTTGCACTTGCAGAGGACGGAAGTTCCTGTCGCTGTTGTACAGATTATCTGCCAGAGCAAAGAACTGGTAGGTATATTCGCCGGCCCTGGACGTGTCCATAGCGATGGCCGCCCGGTTGAGAGCAGCGTCAAACTCCTTCCGGGTCATGGATCCCGAACCGTGAAGGGGTTTGTGGCGGACTTCGTACTCAACGTGATACGGAGGGGAACCTGCATCAGAATCAGAGTTAGCCAAGTGATCAGCGAGAGGGACGCAATAAGTAGTAGGGTGCTGGAGGAGAAAAAAAGAAGAAAAAGAAAAAAAAAGACAAAAAACTCACCTTGTAAGCCGACCTCGAACCCGTCAATGTCACCTTCGCACACGTCACGTTTGACGAAGCCGGATGGCGCAGTAGAGATACCTTCCGACGAAACGATGCTGATCTCGGGACGCGGGAACCAGTCGACCTCGAAATTCGAGGCTTGGGGATCGATTGTACCAGGACATTGGCTGTCGGAGACGTCGATTATCTCGTAGACGCCCTTGGAGGTCACAGTAATGACATCGTTGCCGTTGCGCGCAACCTTCTGGAGGAGCCCTCCGCTGCCGTCGACGTTGCGGTAGGCAATTGTCCAAGGCGCCTCGCCTTGCAGACGCAGAGGAAGATCAATCTTTGCGTCCTGAACGGCCATGACCTTCCTCTTGTTCTCGATCATGCCAAATGCTGCGCGAGGCCTCTGTCTTCTGACGGAAATCTTGAGCTCGTCATTCAGGTAAGTGCGGCACCCGGTTTTGTCTTGGATGCTGCTCAGCGCGAGAATGTGGTCACCTCCCTTCGCGAAAGGAGCCGTCTTGATCTTGTACCTCGAGGCGTCGATGCCGGTAACCTTTTCCGACTTCCGTTTGCCGTCATGAACGATCTCCCACTCCAAGGAGAAGGGAGGGTCACCCAGGAGCAGGATGTCCACCTCGACCTGTTCCTCCAAGCAGGCACTCAGGACGCCCGTGGGATGCTCGATAATGGCGGACGCCGCTGGTTTCACATCTTGCTCCAGCACCATGTCCGAGCCGGCCAGATGTTGCTTCTTGTAGATGGCGTCACTGATCTGCTTAAACACGTACTTGTGATGACCGGCCTCCTTAGGTAGAAGGTCAAACTGGTGTCTCAGGCCTTCGATATACACGGTCTCCGCACGGACGCGGTCGCGATGTACGACCTCATAGTGTATCGAAAAAGGCGGCGTTCCGGTCAAATCCAAGTCCACTCGTAGGCCAACCGAGTTGCCGGCGCACTTATCGGGAATCTCCTCGGCGCGAATCGAGAAGCTAGGTTCGAGCGGGTTGAGCAGAAGACATGACGACGGCTCCTGAATCTCGCCATCGCATGAACGGGCCGAAATCGACTTGAGGGTGTATAGACCAGGGGCAGAAACCGAGGGTTTATCGTGTGAGTTGGTGGCCGTATAGGACCCAATAGAGACATGGTCACCATGCTCCCCGCTGTTAGTGAGTGTATCGATGGGCGAGAAGTCCCAGGTAATGGTGTGCGAGGTGTCTTCGGGGGTTCTCCCAGGTAGGGTGAAGCTTATAGGAAGCTCGGTCGCTTTCCCTTTCGCGACTTTGAGCGGATTTCTAAGATCACAACCCTTGAGTCGCGCCTGGGGGCGTTCTTTGACCTCAAAGTTCCGGACAAGATGTTTCGGCCGAGGGTGGAAATCAGCGTCCTCGCCCGGTTCGGCGTATCTCTGTAGGTTGCCAAAACCGTCCTGGACTTCGTCGACGGCGTACTGCCACTGGCCCGACACCCCCAGGGTCTCGTTGAGACGGACCTCGACAGCCCTGGGCTTTACCCACGAAATGTCTTTTTCCTCGGCCAGGACAAGAGGTGCGGACGGAGAGCCCAGGAGCGGGGACGAGTAGTCGTCTGGCTGAAGGCTCTGGAAGTGGAAGCTGCGGTCTTTGCCGTTGACGGTCCGGCTGTACACGATCTTGAGAGGCGGCGTACCGACCACATCAACAAGCAGATCAGAGAGGTCTCTGATGCACCGACCTGAAGCATCTAGTGTGCGGAACTTGGCTTGTGGACAAGGCACCACGTATGTGTCCTTGGTATTCCGCTGTACCTCCAGCTTATACTCGTCCAGAACCTTCTTTAATCGATAGATGCCCGTTTTCTTCACCGGGAGATCGACTGTGTGGACCACGGGGCTGGAGTCCGTCATGAGCTCCTTGATGCCCCTCGCAATCTTGTTGACTTCTTTCTTGCTGAGTTTGATGATTTCCTCCTGGTCGGTCTGTAAATCGATGCGGACAAGTTCAATCTCGGCAGGCACGGTCGAATTAAATTGTATCGGCAATTTGGCAACATCGCGGCCACCAGAGCCGAGGCAGAAAGGAGTCTGTTCAAAGTTGAGTACCGCCGACCTTCAAAAGGATTAGCTCTTCAGATACGCCAAGGACGCTGACTATGGTGCGCGGCGGGAGTTTGTGGAACTATACCCTTCAGGTAGGATGTTGATGATTTGCTTGCCCATGATGAGCGAGTGATTATGGAGGATCGACGAGACTTTGACGCTCTGTTCAGACACGGAGATCTCCCGGTCGTAAAAAACCTTTGCGAGACCGAGAATCCATGGCTGCAGAGGAAACTGCCCATGTTCCTGTTAGTTCTCTTGATACAGGCAGACAAGCGGAAGGGGCGGCGAGAACTTACACCAACGTTAAACATCAACAGCCAGTTGACGAAGGACTGAATGGCCCATACCGTTAAAACGGTGGATTGAGAAAGTTCCAGCCATGGTATCCGCAGCTCGGGCAGACCGAAGAGAAATGCGAAGTCTATCAGGACCCATTTGAGAAACAGCCAGACGGATATTTCGTCGTCCCGTACGACGGCAGAATAGTCGTATAGCTTGTAGGCCCACAGAAGGGCGTAGGTTGCTGCGGCATAGAAGCGTTGTTGCGGCCCGTCTAGCAGGGTCAGGGGAATGAGTGGTTCGCTCGGGTTCCGGCGAGGTGCGCTTTCGGGCGCTAGGGGAAGGGACGATGATCGATTGACCCGGGATGATGTTGTTGACGGAGGAGTCGGTGGGTTTATAGGAGCCTTGCGGCCATTTGCTGCTGCGGTACCTGGGGTTTGTGGGAAACCGCCAGTCCGCTGTCGAGGTGTTTCGCTCATGGCATTCCGAGGGGTAGGTATCGTAGCGAACAAACGAGAAAAAGGAAAGGTTGGCTGCTGGTTGATGATCTGGCTATAGGAGCTGTAGGATTGGTATGGCGGTGGAATGCAAGACCATGGAGACGGTTAAAGGAAATAAAGTGCGGGTAGTTGCTCCAGGAGTATTGATCGAAAAGAAGAGAGGGTGAGAAAGAGGCTTCAGGAATACCTAGGTATATTAGGGAGGTACGTTGGAAGATTGAAATTTTGTGATCCTGGGTTTAGAATTTAGGTGAGGAGCAAAGTTCGTCACGTCTTGGACGACGCGACAACAGGGACAGACACGGGTACACACCACTGACCAGCACTAATTATTACCCTACCTTACGTTAACGTTAAGATTTTTGGCGGGTTGAGTGGGGCAAGGAATGTACCATGCAGCACCTTTCCAACACTGCTCGGCATCTAATACGGATAAAGTATTTTCCGCGCTCTACCTCATGTACCTTTTGTGAAGTCGACCTCCTCCAACACCCATGGTAGGTATATCATTGAACTCGGAGTGAAAAGGAAGCAACGTCTGGCCTGTGTGTGAGATATTGACGCCAAGTGCCTTTTCTTTCTTTCCTTTTCTGCATAGGCAACCTGTGGCTCTTCTCAACAGCATCAAATTTCCGAAAAAGGTCTTGTCTACTGGCTTCTTGCTCTGTACAGTTACAGCTCTTGCAGTTCCTTAGTCCAGGCTTGCTGAAACTCATCTCATAGCCCGGCTTCTCCTTGGTGAGTCTACTACTGTCCTGCACAAAAGTACGTGTATTTATTCTTTTTATGAATTTCCATTTTCTTTAAAGCTGTAGGTGTGTCTTTTTTTTTTTTTTCTTTTTTTTTTTTTCCCCCTGTTATCCTGATCTGCCGTATCCATATTAGACACGGCATCACGCACAGGACTGTTTTTACAGTGTTACTTGAATGATTGATGCTATGCCTGGTTCACCCTGTCTCAAGTCCTTTACCTTTCTGGATCATTCCATACGCCAGCACATCAGAGAGATGATGATATATTTATCTGTACATGTTTCTAGACTCAATGTCCTGGCTTTCTGGAATTGCCTTCCTATGTCACATTTATGTTCTGTGTTCTGAGCGGAGTGTTCTTACACCAAGTGTGCAATGACGTCTCCAACACCAGTCCCTACTCACCTCCAACGACCCGAGTCTCCAAACCATGGGTAGATTTGGCATGGGGGAGGGTGGACTATTACGGGTCCTATTCTTTTCAATCATTCCCTCCGCTGCACTCTTGCGTCACAGTTATCGTTATATCTTATCCTTGCAGTCTCCAGCCAAGTGACAGACATAGCCCCAACAGCTCTGTCTAAATCTCCACGAAACCTCGTACAAGATGCGCCGGTTTCTATCTGCAATCATGACGCTTACTCGAAGTCGCAGATTCAAGGACGATCGTGGATCCAACGGCGATTGTGGTGGCATCGCACGCGTTGAGATCCCAGAAGGCGCGAGCGCTACCGCAGCCACATCGAGGACGCCTCCAAGTGCGGAACCCGACATTGCTAGGACACGGGAACGGAAAGCCTGCGAATCGGATCCAGTCCTCGATGAAATTACAGTCGCCAGTGCTTGCCAACCTCACGCTGCTTCACGAAACCGGCCTATCATTGACGGACGGCAAACCCGGTTATTAGGCCGAACCCGTGGCAACCCTGGCGTTACTGGCGTCGGGCTTGACATTATGGATGAGCCGCCGCGGCGCAATCCGAAGCGGAAGGCCACCGAACCTGTTACGAGCCATCTCCAGATGGTTGACGATCTCCTCAGAGAGGCGGTGGCGCCCGTTACGACGAATGACATTCGCGAATGGACTGGATGGTGTGAACTGGAGTCTGAGCCGGTACCTCTCACCGTTCGCCCCCTTCCATCTGGACTTTCTTCTTTTTTACTGACCCCGTACTCCAGGCATTCTTCAATGTCATTCTCCGAGACTATGGGGTCAAGGACGTGAAAATTCAGGAGGTATTCAGTATCGATGACGATTTTCTCAGGCTCCTTCCCCAGCCTGTCTATGGACTCATCTTTCTGTATCAATATTTCTCCGAAGACTACGAAGCAGAGGAGCCTAGTGAAGACAGTCAAGTTTGGTTTGCCAATCAGGTATATTATTATGGCTTTCCTAGGTCGCAATACTTTGCTACGCACCCAAAGATCGAAGCTGACCTTGAAGACTAGACCACAGATAATGCATGTGCTACCGTTGCCATGATGAACATCATTATGAACAGCGAGGTCGAGATAGGAGCTGAGCTCGAGGCTTTCAAGGAAACAACAAAGGACATGAGCTATCCCCTACGCGGTCAGGCACTCAGCATGAATGACCACTTGCGAACCATCCACAACTCGCTTACTCGCCGGTTGGACCATCTGAACGCCGATCTTTTTCTCAGTGGCGAGGTCGATAGATTCGACAAGAACAAGAAAAAGCGGAAGGCGTCTGGCAGCACGTCGACCGGAAAGAAGAAAAAACCTCACGGGCAAGCCAAGAAGAAGAGGAAGAAGATCAACCCGGACATTGCCTTCCACTTTGTCGCCATCGTTCCCGCCGCCGGTTCCGTCTGGGAACTTGACGGCTTGAAATCAGGTCCAGTCAATCTAGGCTCCGTCGAAGCGGACGCCAACTGGGTCGATGTCGCTAAGCCGTTTATCGAGGCTCGCATGCTACAGTTCGAGGAGGGTGCCGTGTACTTCAATGTGATGGCCCTCTGCCGGAGCCCTCTGGCCACGGCGTCAACCGCTCTGGCGAAAACTGTGCGCCAACTTAGCTTGCTCAGCCAGCGGGCTGAAGGGAATTCGGAGTTCTCGTCCCTTGCGGCGAATGCCCCTCCGCCGTTTGTTGCGGACGAGGAGGGCCTCCACGCCTTTGGTCTGACGTCGAAAGTCGTCGAAGAAGCGGAGGTCGAGCCTGAGTTCGCCTCTCGCATAAAGGACGTGGCAGATGCCGCCGAGCTTTTCACTGTGTACGAGGAACTGGTCACCGCGCAGAAGATGGCAATGGGCGAGTACAAGAACGAGCAGGCGGCAATGTATACGGATGAACACCGCCTACGGGGCAGGAAAATGGACAACATGGCGGCTATCCATCGGTGGTTGGAAGCTATTGCCGGTCACGGTAAATTGGAGGAAATGGCAAGGGATACTCAGTGAAGCATTGCAAGTTAATTTCCAAGTTAACTGAGATGACGACGGGGGATGTAAAGTCAATCGCATCATGTCGGCATGATACACACTTACGTTGAGAACTGGTAAAAAAAGAAAAGAAAAAAGAAAAAGAAAAGAAAAAAAAAGGGGGGGGGGGGGGGAGATGAAGGCTACGGGTGGGCTGGTCGGAAGATCAGTATCACGATGCATAGCGTCAGCGATCGGCCAGTAATTGTTTCGTTCTCGCATCCTAACAATTCAGTCTCAGACCGACATCTCGGTGCAACTCGTGAAATCAGTCGAGACTAGGCTTTCGCGTGTTTTTCTTGATCAAAATAAAGGAAATTGTTCAAAAGTAACCCTGTGTAGAACAGCCGCCGGCCCCCCACGGATAGAAGCGGGCTCCAACAGGGGACAGACGAAGGATGAGGCTCGTTGGGAACCAACACCAATGCCGTGACGTCGGATCCATTCCATGCATGGGTCGGTCACCCAAAAAGAAGACCAAAATAAACAAGAGAAAAGAAAAGATGAAAAAGGAAGAAGAAAAGGCCAATTGGTGGGATGGCCCACTGCTAGACCAGAAAGGATTGGAGATGGACGACCAACCTGCTTGCTGCAGCTGCAGTGCCAGTGCCAAGGATCGACCGAAATGCTACCCATCATGATCACATGCGACTTTTTTTCCATACATGTTATGACTGAAATGTGCACCAAAAGACCCCACGGCACCCAGCCGCAGCTGAATCGCACCGCATCAGTGGCCGACCTAATGATGCACTTCGTACGAAGTACAAACAACGTACGTCGCGGACTCCATCCCCACAACTCCAAGTTGGTCATTGTTTTGCCCCCCGCCCCCCAGACGGGCGCATTGCTACACTGTACGTGTAGCTTTATGGACCCCACAGGTTCCTCAACCGACAAACGAATGAACCGAACCATGGATGGGGTGATGGGGTGAGGGGTCTGACAAGTTTATTAGTCGTCGGGATACTCCTCCCTAATATTGGATACGAAGCTACACGTCGACCTGTCAAATCGCTTAAAATAGAGCCCCGCCCTCTCGAACCAGGCGCTCGTGACCGTCTCTGGGTCTAGGTCGGTGACAAGTTCAAGGTTGTCAGCCTTGGCGACAATATTTCTGGGGCCTCTATCCATCCTGTATTGTTTGTTTTTCCCTCGGCGTCAGTGCTATCGATGCGGGGAAAGCAGTAGAACTACAATTGTATGCCGAGACGCGGGGAGAAGGAGGAGGAGGAGGAGGAGAAGGAGGGGGAACGCGGAGCTACATACTTCGCGACGTGGGCATGGGTAGCTTGCATGAGAGGGGGGATGGGGGGGATCGAAGGAAGGGATGGACTTACATGCACGTGTAAAAGATGCCGCTTCCGAAATACGTCCAGCCAATGATGACCGCGATGTTGCCGAAGCGGATATGCCGAACCAGCTGGCCGACTCTGAAGACCACATCGGATGTCCTCACGCGACGTTGTAGCGGCTGATCAGGTTCTTGAGGCATGAATTCTGTCATGCCGAGGCCGTCGCTCCCGAGGATCTCTCTGCAGAGTGGAGAGAAATGTGTGTCAAGGAGCCAGGCGTCTTCCGACTGGTGGGGCCTGAACCAGAAGGCAAGCTGGCGGCTGTTCTCCAACAGCTCGGACATCTCGCGAGCGAGCAGTAGACTCGCCCAGGCAGCCCCGTACACAGCTAGCTCCAGGTTCTCCGCTGTATTCCTGCCGGGGAGGCCGGTCGTCACCTCATTGCTAGCAATCATGGCTCCGCGGGTAGACGTGAATGAAGCCTTGATGTTGGCCGTCATCCGTAGTACGAGCATTGCGGGCGACGCAGGCGTGAGCAGACTATCCAGGGATGCTTGCCACCCTATACCAAACACTACCCCTAGGACAGCTTCTTTCGTCACTTCGTGAGCCGAGGAGAAAGGGTCCAGATACATTTGCTCGACCGGCTGGGTTGAGTCCATGACTCGGGCTCCATCCAAGGTCGACTCCCGAGTTGCGAACACCACAACATGGACATGGCCCGGAATGGGGAGACATTGTGCAGTTAAGCCTAACCTCTCTGCGACGCAGCAAAAGATGGCGGCAGATATGAGCGGTAGTGAAGGGTGCTCTGGGTCACGTAGTGCATGCCCGATAAAGCAATTTTTCAGATTTCGATACTCTGTCTCAGGGTTCTCGAGTCCAGTCAGATTATGAGCTCGCAGCCATCGGTTCAAGGCCAGGGCCTTGTCCCGAATGTTCATATCCTCTAGGTTGGCATGGCATGCCGAAAACTGCGCGGTAAGGTCATCTAAAAGGGAGGATATCTGCGGGCAAAAAGAAAAAAGAAAAAACAAAAAAAGTGGTCAGTATAACTGCACACCCACGAAAAGAAGGCTGAGAGAGATGGGATGAAAAGCAAAAGAGAAAAAAAGAAGACCGAAAAAAGGAGGGAAATTCTCACATGGTCCAAATCGCCCTCATCGCTATCAATAATGAACATGTCCAGTGCGCCTAGAGCACGTTCGAGAGTCCGGGGTGGGTATTGTGCCGGCAGGCCATCGCGGGCGTCTACCGCCGGGCCGTTGCGCAGATCTCTCCAGACGTCGAGCGCAAGTCCGCGGCGGAGACTTGCGAGAATTGACTTGCTATGATACCTGAGCAGGGTTTCAGTGAGAAAAAGAAAGGCGGTGCGGAATACCTGTGTTCATTTCCTACCTCCTGGCCAACACGTCATCCGCCGAGTCGATGGTGCGGCACTGCTCGAGGAGGAAGTCCTTCGCGTCATACCCCAGACGACAGATCTGTTCGAACTTCCTCACACGACCCAGCTTCGTCGAGAGAATCCCGTCGAAGAGGTTCGAGATGTGGACGTTCCTCGCCTTGCGTAGGAGGAAAAGGGCCTTCCAGTCGACGCTGGCAACGTCCGCGTCCAGCTTGGCGGGAAGGTCGTGGCGCGGGTCCCAGTGTGCGAATGACGTCCGGCAATGCTGTCGCCAGAGGATGGGGTCGTTCGCGAGGGCATTCAGCCGTCGAGAGAACAGCTGGACCCGAAGTAGGTTGTCCTCTGGAGAGACAAAGGTGAGGATATGGTGGATGATCTCATCGGGGATTTGGTCCAAACAAGGCATCGTGACAGGTTCCGAATTCTTCTCGAGTTGTGTTCGGTTAAAGGACAAGGAAAAGGAGGGGAAAGAAATGGGATAAAAGACGTTTAGGAAGGTCCGCCGAGCACGCGGAGTATATAGAAAGCATTCGCCTCTTATACGCTGGAGGTCGGGGGTGATTAGGTATGGCACCCTTTCGTATGATGATGAGAAGGACCAGACGCTGAATGACAAGGAAACAGAAACATATCAAGATCAAGGGTCCCCGAAGCCAAGACTGCGCCACTCAGTCTGGAGGATTGCGGATCCTTGAAAACTTGGTGGGCGACAGCTCGCCGATTCAATGCTGGTGACTTGACAATATTGATTCCAGCGCAGATCTAGAAGGGCCTGGGGCAGTCGATGACGGCGGCGGTGTGTCGGACATGGGTGCTTGTTCTTTACGGCGGGGTTAAGGTCTGCCTCACGTGGAAGGAAGCCAGCATCATCGCCGTACGTACTCGGTAGTATTCGTTGGAAGCACTTGGAATGGGTGGCAATTGGAGAAGAGGGCGGGAAGACCTCGACGACAAGAGGAGTCGGCAACTTGGAGGAAATTAATTTGTTGACTTGTCCAAGTGGCTTGCGAAGCTGTGACGCCACCCACCTGGGACTGTGCTTGTGCTTGGGCGGTGTGCCGCTGATTGTCCCTCTGATTATCTGTACATAGGTAGGTATTTATTAGGTACCAACTCCAGTGCTCTGACCCCTTTTCGCAAGCTCTTGCTTGCCAAGTGACTTTGCCATGTGACTTTTGCGGGGTAAATTTCAATTTATGCCTTGAAGCTCATTGGGTCACATTGTCATCGGCTTTTCATTGGTCAAAGTCCAGGCGGTCTCCATCATAGACCCAGTTTATTCCCTAAATGGATGAAAAGTAAACAAAAGAAACGCGGTCGTGGGGCCAAGTTCCCAACTCCCGACACGCATCATCAAGGGTATCTCATGCCGTTCCATGAATTCCAGTCTTGCTGGATAGGTAGCTCCACCAGATCGCGGTACGAGCTTCGCGTGCTGTGCATTACTTCATCACCAGTGTCATTCATGATAAGAGTCGTCTCTGGCATTCGTTTCTTTCGCCATTGCCGAGGAAGAACGTCTCCCAACACATCACCAGCTCTCTTAAGCGAATAAAGTGATACCGACCATGATCATCACTGCACATTAACATCGCGCCATCACCATAACAGCCATTTATACAGTCCCATTGCATCCATTTATACGCATACGCAAACCCTTCACACCCAGTGTCAGGCGGCATGGCTCCGCCAGGATATGGCGGCGGTCTTGACACGCCACGAACCAACCTCGGCGACGCAACGTACCTCAGCCGACAGCCAGACTTCGATATTTCACAAGAAGCTTCCTTCCAATTTCCGGCCAAAGACGACAATTTGCTTCAGCAACTCCGGAGCGGCCGGACAGGCGGCATCAGCCTACGAACGCCGCGTGGTCGCGCACCGTTGGGTGACCGCAGAAACCTCCCCAGAAGTATTGGAGGCGCCGAGTTTACACCGTTGCTCAAGTCGGCCACACGAAACAGTACACGGCGGCTCTCGGGTAAAGAAAATGGCGCGGTACCCAACACGCCTGCCCTCGATAGGATCGACGAAGACATGACGCCGCTTCCGAACGGCGAAGTGTCTATGTACTCCCGGAACGCATCCTACCTCGAACACAGTCTTCCCCAGGTTGAGAGCAGTAGTATCGCCTCGACGCCGATAGCTCTGTTAACGAGGAAAGGGGACGGCAAGGGCCCGCTGCAAGACGGCAACCAGCTATCGCTACGCGAGCAAGAAAATGTCATCGATAAAATCGAAAAGGAAAACTTTGGCCTCAAGCTCAAGATACATTTCCTCGAAGAAGCGCTGCGAAAAGCTGGGCCCGGGTTAAGCGAGGCGGCGTTGAAAGAGAACACGGAACTGAAGGTCGATAAGGTCACGATGCAGAGAGAACTGCAAAAGTACAAGAGGCATCTGACGGCAGCCGAGAATGATCTCGAGAGCTATCGTGTGCAGATGATGGAACTCCAAGAGAAGGCGAAACGGAAATATGCCAACGAAAAACAAATGGCCGAGATCGAACGCCTTCAGCGGACGCTTGAGGATAAGGAAGCCGACATGGAACATCTACGACGACAACTCGCCGAAGACGAAAAGGATTCTGCCCGGCTCGAGAAACTACGAGAAGAGCTTGCTGATCTCGAGGCGGATATCCGGGAGAAGGATAACCTCCTCGGCGAGCAAGAAGACGAAATCGACGAGTTGAAAGAGAAGCTCGACGCAAAAGACGAGACCATTAAAAAGCATGAGGATCAACGAAGGGACTTGGAGGCCAGACTCGAGGAGGCCGAAGACAAGGCAAAAGACGCGCGGCGGAAGATGGTCGAGTTGGAAGAGAAGGCACACGCAAGTGATGAACTGGAGGAGGCAAGAGGAACCATCGACGATCTCGGGAGAAAAATTCGGCGCTTAGAGGACCAAGTCGACGAACTTCAGGAGAAAGCTGACACTGCCATCGCGGACAAGGAGCGCGCCGAGGCCGACTTGGAAGAGTTGCAAGAGGAAATGGCAAATCACTCGGTTGTCACCAAAGGTCTCACCCGACAGAAGGAAGAAAGGCTCGTTCGACTACAAAACGAGCTTGAAGAGGCCGATGAGAAGTACGCCAACCTCGAGAAGAATCTGTCTCAGGTCACAACGGAAAACCAAGACCTCAGGAATACAGTGAACGAGAGCCATCACTACAAGGCCCTATTCGAGAAAGAACGCCAGACGCTCGTCAACCAGTTGGAGGAGCTCAGAGTCGAACTGCAACACCGGAACGACGAGAAAAATGTCCTTCAGGCTCGCCACGACGCCCTGGCCAGCGACTCGGCATCATTACAGCGGGACGTAGCGCGGCTCCAGCGGGCCGTTGAGGAGCTCGAAGAAAACCTAAATGAGGAACGAGAACATGCTCTGGAGATAGAGAGAGACATTCGCAATCAATACAAGGGCGAGATTGACCGGCTCAACGACGAGATCTCGGACCTTCAGGCAGTGGTTCGTGAGAGAGATAACCTCTACGACAACGACGCCGAGAAATGGGAAACCGATCGCCAGACGCTGGAATCGGAGCGAGATCGGGCGGAGGAGAAGGCCGCTGGGCTAGAAAGGACAATCGCTAAACTACGTGAGGCCGAGGGCGACCTCTCGAGCAAGGAGGCCAGACTCCAGGCCGCATTGCAAAGTGAGGCGGAGAGACACAAGAGCGAGCAGGCCGTTCTCAGTCGTCAGATTGAGGACCTGCAGCGGAGCCTCGAATCACGACAAGCTTTATTAACGGACCTACGGAACGAGCTATCGACGACACAGGACAAGCTTAGACAGAGTCAGGTCGATTTCCAATCTCAAGCGGAGAAGGTGCAGGCACTAGAAGATGAAGTCGAGGTCCTGCAATCCGCACTGGAGGAGGAATCCGAACATGCTCGCGAGGAGATGGAAGCGGCTCGGAAGGAACGTGACCAGCTCAGACAGCAGATCGACTCCCTGCGCCAAGCTGCCAACAATGACAATGCGCAGGTCGCGGCGTCGTCTCGAGAGAACGAGAACCGCATGAAAGCGTCACTTGATCTTCTGCAGACCCAGCTCGGCGAGTCGCGAGGTCGTGTGGCCAAGATCACGCAAGAAAAGCAGGAGTTGCAAGATCAGCTGGCCGACCTGAAACTTGACATAATCTCATTAAAGAACTCGCTGGCTGAAGTTCAGGCCGAACGCGACGAGATGGAAGGCGAGATGAAGAGAGCCCAGCAGTCAGGAGAAGAGACTCTCCGTGTTGATCGCGAGAGGCTCGAACTCAGGACAGGGAACATGAAACTGGCCAACGAAGTCCGCCGGCTGAAGGAAGAAAACAATGCCTTGGTAGAGCAGAGAAGAACGGTCGAGAAGTCATTGGAGGATGAGATCGAGAAGGCGGTCGAGGAGGAGGAGCGTCTCAACCAGGAGATTCTTCAGCTTCAAGCCAAGCTGAGAGAGTCGTCCTCTTCGGAAGGTCAGGAATCTTCCTTAGTTCGACGGACGATTCGCGAACTGGAGCGACGCATCAAGGACTACGAGGACCAGCTTGCTGCCATGAATCATCTCACCCACGACCATGGCGGAGAAGGCAGCAGTGAGTTGTCGGTTATCCGACGTGACCTCTCTGCTGCTCGTCAGAAGGAGCTCGAATTTCTTCAGCGGGAATCGGCACACAAGGATGTTGTGAAGAAACTGAAGCGGCAGATCACCGAACTTGAGCGTCAAGTGCACGATACCGAAATTGCCCGGCTGATCACATCCCCCGACTCGTCCGGGGCATCGGTGCGCCAGGTGGAGGTTTCGGATCTCCGCTCACAGCTATCTTCGGCGCATCAGACGATACATGATTTGAAGACGAAGGCCCGCGACACCGAACGGAAGGCCAGTCAGACCGAGCACAAGTTGCAGGCGCGCCTCGATGAGCTCGAAGACCAGAAACTCTCCCTAGCGCAAGCCCTAGAAGACGCGCAACGCGACGCGGACGAAGCGGCAGCCCTCCACGACAAGGCCGTGCGTCGTCTCAACCAGAAGCTCGAGAGGTCAGAGCGCGAGCGTATGTCGGCTGTTGCTACCAATCGCCAAAGCAGCGCGGAAAACGGATCTGCTTCCTCAGACCGCAGGGACCTACAGGACACACTACGCAAGGCGCAGGCGGAAACGAGAGCCCTCGAACACGACGTTCTCCAGCAGCAAGAGACCATCGACGCGCTCGCAGCCGCCGAGGCGTCCCTACGTCGCAAACTGGAACGCGCCCGCAGCGAACGCGCGGCCTACCGACTCACCGCCGAGAAACTCCAGAAGGACATCAGGGAACTCAAGGCGGCAGCGGCAACGTCCGGCGGACCGCAGGGCCATGAGCTTGCCCGGCTGGAAGGCGAGGGTGCGCTTAACGATGCCAATTCGGCCATTGAGACGGTCATCCGGGCGGCGGAGAATGCGGAAAAGCGCCACAGCAAGGAACTCCGCGGCATGGCGCTGCAAATGGAATGGATGCAGTCACGGTGGGAGCGCGAGGCGTGCATGCGGGCCGATGCAGCGTACGCCAAGAAGTTCCTCCAGCTGGAGCTTGAGGTTGCGAACGCATGGTACGTTTTTTTCTTTTCTTTTCTTCTCTCCCCTCCCGCTGCCCCCCTTCCCAACCACCGCCTCAGATAATGTGTCGACTGACGGGCAATCCCTTCCACAGCAACAAAGCACAGCTCCGCGAACTAGAACAAATTCGCACCGAGGTCCTCGGAAATCGCCAACCGCTACCACCGTCAATCCGCGCCACGGCCAAGGAGAGACCTTCCGGGCGGCCGACGCTCAAGACGGTAGCGATCGTGGCGCGGTTTGTGGCGAGGATGCGCATCTCGGCGCGAGAATGGGCCAAGCACGAGGCGACGCGAAAGAAGCTTGCGGACCGTGTTGAGGAAATGCGCAAGACGAAGCGGAGGAGCGGGTTGAAGGTTGTCAAGGTCGACGATGGTGGTGTTGCGGCGTAAAAAGAAAAAAAGAAAAGAAGAAGAAAAAACAAAGAGTTGAGGGGGCGCTTGAGGCGATGAATTTGCCTCCCCGTCTCGTTTCCTGCCCCTTCTCTATCTTGGGCTCTCAGATGGAGAGAACAGTTTCTTCCTTCCCCTCAACGGTGGTTTTCTGGGCATGGTTCTGTAGATGAGATGGCGTTAGGACGGCGATGATGTCTTGATGTTTTCTTGGTTTTGTTACACGTGGAGGTCGTATTCCACTGCTTCCCCTTTTCTTTTATAGCGTTGGATTCATTCTTGAGGGGAACATTTCTTTCTCAGAGGACACATGGGAACGCTACGGAGTCCGGGTTAGGGACATGGACAGCCATAACAGTTTTGTAGCATGGGCGAGGTCACGGCTGGGTGTTCTTCAGAGCAGGGATAGTTGTGTCATTTTGCTCTAGGCCTAAAGACTTGGAACAAGACTGCTGCGGCAGATGGGGGTGAAGCCTGGCCCTGGCCGCCTTCCCATAGAAGAAGGCATGAGAAGACGATCCGGTCATAAATTTACAGAGTCAAACACTCACTTTCGCTCACTATGTGGCACATGCACTGGCCGAGATTTGAATGTTTGAGGGAATGTTAGACGCTGGTATACAAGTGTAATCGCAACTTCCATCATGAAACCATGAAATCATGAAAAGAGAACGGAAGAAGAAGAAAAAGAAGTCATCCTTATCCCGCACAGAGCAAGGGTAAACACCGGAACATTGGACACGCTTGGTTGCTGCTCAGAAGAGGCCGCGAGATGTTGTATATCCAACGACAAAGGGGAGGGAGGAATCCGTCCGTCGAAAGCCAAGAACACCAGTTTTGAAAAGAATCGAATTCGTAGTGAGAGGATACCACTCGAGCCAGAGCCAGCCTACTTCATTTCAAACAACATAAACAAGTACTGCTGGAACCCACTTCGCTTCGCTTCCCACTTGTCTCTGTTTCTCTATCATACGGGATGGATATTCGTCGTTTAGCCCGCAACAAGCGTTGCCATGTAGCTTCTCATAGCCGATGTGGCAAATCATGCGACGTTCTGGTGGAAGTCTACATGACAAATAGCAAATCCGTGTCTGACGTCGTCGGATCAGTACATATAGATAAAAAGTATTTAAACCCGCAAACACCGGCCACAACTTACTGAGAGGATGGCTACATGAGAGCTGAGGCTTTTGTGTGTACTTGGTGGCGAGCTCGTCTCGGATGCTGTTAAGCAACTGGACATAGCTTTGTTGCGGATTCTTCTTGAGGGAGGTAATGAAGGCCCAAGACATGGCGCCTGTTGCTTGGGAGGCGATGGTGGCGTCGGCACTGTACTTCAAGTTAGCCTTTGGTGTTCATATGCGAGGAATATGGGACATGAGGGCTGCATTTGATAGCGATTAGTGACGGGGCATACGTACGACGTCTGATCGTCCTTGCTGCCCGAAAGCATGATAACGTCTGCAGGGGACGTCTTGGTAGCCATGGTGCGGTTATAAGCCTCCTCGCCATTGGTGGCCTTCTTGAAGAAGCCCACGAGGTTGCTTGCAACACCGCCCAGGTCTCCCTGGCTGTAGGAGGAAATAACACCGAGGAGACCCTGGCCGGCTTCCTTGGCCAAGTTCGGCTGCTTGAGAATGCCTTGCGTATTGTAGATGTAGGGGAGGTCGAGGGCGGTGCCCGAGTGGCACGAGTCGAAAATGGCTGTGAGTCGCACGCCGGGAACCAGAGGCTTCACCATGATCCTGTGCATTTCGTCGTCGGTGATGTGACCGTTCTGTCGGAAGTCGACGGGATATATGACCTCATCATAACCATCCTCCTCGTCCCCATCGAGATCCTTCGTTTGGCCGCCGTGGCCCGAGTAATGGAAAAAGAGAGAATCGTTCGGCCTTGCATCCTTGACCAGCCAATGCATGGCTCGTAAGAGGTTTTGCTTGGTGGGCTGGCTCATGGGATTCTGTTGGTCGTCGGTGAGGATGACCATGTCTTCTCGCTTATAGCCAAAGTTCTCCACCAGGTAGGCAGACATGTTCTTCACGTCGTTGATACAGCCCCGCAGCTGGCCATGCTGACCGAAGTAGTTGATGCCGATGAGGAGAGCTTTTCTCCTGCCCGTGCAGTTGGAGTATTGATACGAGTAGTTGCTCGGAGCCCCATGGCCAAACTGCTGCGGCGTTGTCGGAGGTGGAGCAGGGGCGTTGTGGTTTCCGTGGGAGTAGGCGTTCGAGTTTGCAGTCGGCATTGCTGTTTCAACACGTCAGCCTGGTCAAAAGCCAGTGTAGGGGCACGGGGATTACACACTTGGCCTATTGCCGTAGCTGAGCTGTGGTGGGCCGTAGCCATTGTATGGTTGCTGTTGGAGATGTTGCTGGGGGTGCTGCTGAGGATGCTGCTGGGGATGATGTTGAGGATGTTGCTGGGGAGGTCGCTGAAGCGGCTGCTGCTGTGGAGGCTACATCACAGAGTGCGAGGGTTAACAAAAAAAAACGCCAACAAAGCCGGCAATATAATATGCGCTGGATGGGGTTTTCAAACACATACCAGGCGGTTATAGCCGTAAGGTTGGGAAGAAGGCTGCTGGGGATGGTAAGCATAACCGGGGCCCGGAGGCGGGCGGGGCGGCCCCGGCTGGTATGTATTATAATTAGGCTGCGGGCTGAAGAAGCAGTCTCAGAGTCAGCGTTTGGAATAGTTGGATGGGGGATGAAGCACCGGCGTGCCTGGATGCCGTTCTTACGGGTAGTAACCGCCCTGGACCTGAGGCGGGTAAGGCTGCTGCGGCGGACCGCCGTGCTGATAACCTCCCTGATAACCCTGGCCCGGATAACCCGACATTATCAAAATGAAGCGCCGGTGACCAAAGGGGGGTGACGCGAGAGCTGTCGGCACGGGGGCCGTCGGGTCGTCGTCGTTGTCAGCCTCGTGAAAGCTTGCCGTGACCGAGGAACGGAACGCGCCAAACAGGCTTTCGCAGATGGCAGGTACAAGAAAGACGCTTCTGGCCAGGCAGACTGTTGTTGCTCAACGAAGGCGACAAAATGGTGTCTACGGCGATATCTATGCCACTAATGGTCGAATGGTCGAATGGTCGAACCCCAAATCAATCCAGTCTTTTGAGACCAGACAAGCGCACTCGTGACGAGGATACGACTGGTGGCAAGAAACGAAAAAAAAAACCAAACCAGTGGTTGGTCCCTGGCACTAGGAAATCGGTCTGTCGAGATAGGAAAAAAGGCGGGGTCGTTGCGTCAACTCGACGAGCGGAATGAGCTACCTATAGTATGAATCTGATTCCGGAGGAGATGACTCGGGCGAGGAGTTGTGCAAGGAGCCGATAAGACACGATATCCCGATGACGGCAGTACAGAATGGGCGTCGTAAGAAAGAAATATGGTAATTTCGGATACCCTTGTGGTGATCTGTTCTGGCGACGATGGATTAAAAGAGGGAATTGTGACGATGAAAACAATTTGGGATGAAGGATGGGGGAGGGGGAGGGGGGAGGGATATGGGGGGATGGAAGGTGGGTGAGTGGGGACGATGAGGGTTTGATGGGGATGTCAAATGCACCAAATGCACGGAAGACATATTCGTACTTTGTGACGAAGTACCCCGTACATCGTCATTCTTTGTGGGTCGAGTCTCTTAATCTTAAGGTAAGGTAGGGTACGGATACGTAAGCTAGGTACAAAATGATCCACCTCAAACCCGGGGTTTCGGGGATTCAGCTTCTTGGTTCCTTTAACTGTCTCGAACCAGTCTTCGAGGTGATTAATTACGACATACTTTGGTAAGGGTTCCAGCCTGGTCCAGCACGCTCAGAGTACAAGTAAAAGCGTCTCAGATACCTATCTATTAGATACCTTAACGTTGAGGGGGATAGGATATAAACAAGAAAATAATGACAAGACAACGGAGTACGCCGAACAGACTTGAACTGGACGAGGCAGTGGGCAATATACCTTACCTTACCTTACTGAGTACGGGAGTACAGGGCAATTGAGCGTTCTCCAGACGTGGAAGTCGGCATCAGTAATTATAAAGTGATTACTACACCGAACCCTTGATCCTACCTTATCCAGGAAAGCCCCGCTATAAGCCTGTTCAAGTGATCGGCGTCGGGCCAGAATATTGGAGCGCCCATGTCAATTCTCATTTTCTCCCGACCCGTTGGGCTTGGGATTCTCCTTCCTAGGTATTCTCGTTTCGTTTCCCTTCTTCTTCCCAATCGTACAGATTAATAGCCATTAAACCTACCGATAACCCTCTTTTATTGGCCAGCAGCACCAGCACCGCATCAGGGATAATTAGCGGCTGTCTCAACAAGTCCCGGTCGTCAATACCTCATTCGCATCGGGGCAGCGAGATGGGGGGCGTGCACGTAACAATCAGACCCCTGTTCGGGGTCGCGGCATTCTGCCGCCAGCCGCTCAACATTCTCAGCTGCAGGATGCGATGCTTTGATGCACCATCCTGGCCTAACCAGCATAGCATGTCTCTTCTTTCTTCTGCTCGTACTACACGTGTATACCTACGGCGACCCCTACTAAGCTGAAATTGAGCGGATACCGGTAGACTGTCTTGTTTTAAATGCATGTCCATTCGGAAATTCCATACCTCGGTAGCTCTTCCTCACTTACATATTGAATTTTTAATCGCCGTGTGCGCGGTCTCTGCACACGGACGGGAGTGCGAGTGTGATTCGACCAAGATGTCCGCCCTTGCTATCAACAAAGCCAGTTGATTAAGGTACTCGGTAGTAAGTGCTATAGGTTGAAGAGCAGAAGTACAAGAATATTTCCATTTCTCAAACCGTCGACTCGACCCATTCTTGTCTACGCATCTATATCCATAGTTCGTACGACTTTTCATGGGTCACACGAATATCGATTGCTGAAGCCAAGAGCCGAGTCCCCAACCAACCCTCAGTTTTTATCCAATGTCGTCTGCGGGCTCGGGAGATCTGTGCTCCCATCTCTCAACTTGGTATAGATCCGGCCTTGCCGATTCGTGTGGCGCACCTGAAAGACAAGGGGCCTTATTCCACATTGGGCCAATAATATCCTTTTCCGCGCTGAGACGTGGCTGGGCCTTCGTCAAACACAACGAAGGGAAAACGATAAGGTAATTACCGTACCCCTGGACTTGGGATTAGGTACCTACGAAGTACAACGTCATTACTTCGTAGGCTTCGGCACCCGCAACGAACGACTCGACTTTGGACTAAAGGTACGTGTGCGGAAGGGCGAACATACATTCCAGCTCCCGGAAATGTCTTATTTTTCCCGTCATGTTAACCAGTACTCAAGTGACTTGCGCCGAAACACATCAACCCATTTCACTAACGCCGCGGCTCTCGACTCTACTCCATGCCGAACGAAGAGTGCCTTTTACCCTCCTTTTCACTATCGGCTAGGGACTTGATTGACAAGCCTTGTTGCACGAGGGTCAACATTGATGGAGTCTATTCCGCGGCCGTACAAAATACATTGCATAACCATGCCCATGGCAGTGCAATTTCTTACACGTACATTATAGGAAGACACATACAACGTACCGGGAGGATTCGGCGATCTCGGATATCAGGGGAGATCGTAGCGTCCCCCCGCACTCTTGTTGCTGATAGGCCACTGCTGGACATCGGTCCTGATATGATCGTGGCAAACCTCCAGGATACCCAGATCGGCCATGGGTTTAACAGACCAGTCCTGCCGCTACGGAACACTAATGTTGCTCCGGCGATTTGTTTATTTGTTTAAACCATTGAAATGGGACGACCTTATTTAGCGTAGTCTATCTGCACGCCCGAGACCCCTTCGTTCGGCTCAATAGGTTGTTATAGGGGAAGAACCTTACATTCCCTACCATGAGTGAGCAAAAGTTTCGGGATAACCCAAAGTAGAATGCTTCGAGCTTTTGGGGGAACCCTTTTCTGTCAGGGCAAAACCATGGTGTCTTGCAAAAGTAACGAATCGCTGGATCTTTGAAATATACCGAAATTATTGCTCACCCACTGTACTGGTCGCACCCGCACTATGCTTGATCAGCTCCTTCATAACAACAGCACCATCGGTCGGGAGGCAACATCGTTCTGGCCGAGCTAATATTGACAGTCCCCATTCTCGGACTTTATATCTATAGGACGACCGGGACCATCTTATCTACTCGACACTTCAATCCGCTTGATCAGCTCCCCTCCGATCCTTGCTATCTCCAACAGGACAGCTTCTTTGTTGATTTCTACCGCGTCGCTCTCCGCTTCGCCATCTTGTGCACCTTCACCATCTACCTTGTGGAAATTGAACGGCAGACCGACCCTGAACTCTTGTGTGCGGAGCTTCGGCTGCCAAATGGCTCCCACCGTGGCATCCCCCTGGCCACCCCGAAAGAATATCAGGCTGTCTTGATACACAAGCTCCAGTTCCGCAAAAAGAACGTCCAGCGGGTGTCTCGCCGCCGGGGTCGGGACTGAGCCGGTCCGCTCGTCGAGATTTTTGAAGATCGAATGCCGTACGGCGCCACTCGAGCTGGCTACCATCACATTACGAAGGACTCGTCTTACCTGGGAGCTCGAGACATGAAAGAGAACGTCATAATCCCGGAGGGACGGTTCAAAGAGCTCATCCATATCGAGATCCACCCCGCGGTCCCGCACGAGCCTGCTCGCTGCCTTGGCAAGACGAGTCATCCTGGTCGCCGCAAGCTTGGAGGGACCCCCTCGTGTATATGATAGCCCTTCGGTGTCGTGGTTGGTCGAGACAAAAAGGACAGCGCGATTCATGTTGGGGTCACGAACGCGCCAGGCCTCAAGGTGTCGCCGCACTGCGTTATGATCATCGTGAGACAGCTCGTCCGAGAAGTCAACGACGAGAGGATCGGCCCGCCAGTCCCAGCGAGAGAGAAAGAAGAGGGTCCGGAGAAAACCCGTCTGGGCGCTTGACGGAATCTTCCATGGCTCAGGCTGGAGGAAGACGTGAAGCACAAGAAGCTCAATGAGCTCTTCGCTGATGTGATTAGCGAGCTTGTGCGCGTTAAACCAGTGTTTGACCATGCGTATTGTGGGCGATAGAGGCGCGATTCGTGTGCAGAGGGATGCGACCGACTGCGTGTGCAGTGGAAGCAGCTTATGGTACCAGTTCAAACTGAACAGGGCGTCCTCGGCTTCCGCTCTGATGTACGGATCTAGTGTCTTGTTCTTGACTTGCCGATCCAACAGTGTGTCTTCAAGGTCCGCGTGAATGCGTAACCGGAAAGCGGCGCCGTTGTCGTACACGACGTCGAGATACGCCAGATTGTCCGACTCTTTAAGGGCATTGTCACGGCCAAGGACTGTCGTGATGGAATCGTTCGCTGCTCTTAGCCTTCTGTCAATGTCGAGGAGAAAGTCAATCTTTGCTTCTTGAATTGCAACAATGTTCTCAGGCCACCGGCTTGAAGCCTCAAACGAGAGATGTACGTCCATGGGTGGAACGACTTCCGTATGGAATCCGATGGCTGGTGCCTTGACTGAGGCGTATCGGAGCTCCGAAACAACCGGTGCAAGCCGTCTCACGGAGAGGGGCATTCCTTCCAGGCTGCGTATGTCATGCTCAAGCGTCTGGAAAGCACGCCTTGCCATATCAAAAGCATCCTTATCGACCGGCGTGAAGTCGAGCCCAGCCGGGATCTGGCTGCCCTGAAAGCGGAGGGTGTCGGGGGAGACGTCTAGATGTAGTTTGAGGGTGTATCGAACGATTTCTTCGCATATCCCGGCGGCGGATTTATCGTTCCACGCAACGCATTCGAGAATGCTACCGTCCTTGAACCTGCGCAACTCTGACTTGTCTCCCCAGAACTGCCTAAATTTGGCGGCCTCTTTCCGTGCTTCGGCCGACGGACCGTACTCCATGGCCCTCCCCATGTTTGCTGGGTTGAAGACAACACCAATCAAGATATGGACTGCATCTGATGGGTGGACAGAAGTAATCAGCCAAGGCGAGTAGCTCGGTGTTTGGATGTGAATCAGTGAGGCGCGGTCACTAAGAGCTCTCTGGAGCGTGGTGTATGCCTTGAGACTGAAATTCCACACGGGACCTCGCCGGTCCGACGCAGCAGCATTCCGTTCCAGGTCAATGTCGTCGACATGGATGACTGCGTCGAAGAGTTGAAGAACAACATCGGTCTTGGTGATAAAGGTCGCTTCAAACGGATCCGAGAAGCTGCTGCTCAAGAGTTCCAAGGTCGACGAGGCGTGATATTGGAGCAAAGACGCCGACCAGGGGCTCATCTTGTAGAGAACATTAAGTTCTCGATCGACATCAAACATCACCGGTCCTTGTTCTCGGATAGCGTCGCTTCCCCGTGGGTATGTTCCAAAGACGAAGGGCTCCTTCACGAAGTCGGTGGAAGCGAGGAATTGAATTGTCGCCTTGAAAAGTTCCGTGCTGCTCAGAGCAGAAGACAAAGCTGGTTGACCGTTCCTGCCACCTTTTTGCAGGAGCAGGGCCATAATGATGGCCCACTCGAAATGACCGAATCCTCCCTTGGAGATGGATCCGCCCAGCCCGCGCTGCTGCAGCCAGACCCTGCCGAGAATACATGCATCCGAGAAGGCAGCGCACTGGTTCCTCGCGCGGGCCAGAACCCGCAGGTACGTCACGAAGATTTCCTCCGCCTTGATTGTAGAATTATAAAACGGCGTAGGCATGTCCGCCTGCCCTAACTTGACGGAGTTTGTTGACGGTAGCAGCTTGGACTTGGGAAACAAGCCTTCGGGTGCGCACGGGATGACACGAATGGTATAATCGACGGGCTGCTTGTCGTCATCGCCGTTGGCAGAATTAGTTTCGCTGTCGACTTCAGCTCCGGTAGGGCGGATCGAGAGGATGGGTAGCAAGTTATTTTCATTCAAGTTGTCGAACTCCAACTGCACGGACGACCCCATCTTACTGCGCACGCCGGCAGCGATGTTCGCAATGTAGTACGCCCTTCTGTAGAAATAGCGCATGTTCTGAAAGTCCTTCTCTTGAAAGAGGGACTGTGGCATTTGGACGATCATGTCGATGGCCTTGAGCGGCTGGGCCTTGGTCATAGTCTTCGACACATAGCTCCCTACGACGTTGAAGGAAATCGGCTTGGCGCATGCAAGCTTGTACGGTGCGTCAGCGGCCGGTCTCGGGTCCGGGTAGGGTATTTTAATTTGATGTTTCTTTTGAAACTTCTGTGTCGCATCTGAGATCTGAGAGAACAGGATGCATTAGCAGGCACCCTCAGAACACGTGAGGGAGGGTTAGCGACTTGGTGAGCTTACAGGAACTGGGTCTAGGGAAGGGATGCCCTCGATCACATCTTTCAATTGCTTCAGCAGAGCGTCGGCGTCCTTGAATGCAGTTGAGTAGTCGACTTTGACCTCCTTCAGCAGCTCCTCGGTCTGGAGCACGAAGGGGCTCGCCGTGGCCAGAGCAGTCGCATTACGAGAGCTCAGAGTATCCCCAGTGGAAGAGACCTTGCGCCTCTTGGGACTGTGACTGGACTCCATTTTGGCCATTTGCGCACACTCTCTCGACTTGGCTTGCGTGCGTGCTCTTCGAAGTCGTAGCGAAGCTCAAATTTCTGATTCCTCCATGCCTTATCATATCAGCACGTGACTTTCAATTGTTCATGCAGACCCACTCCACCGGACCTATCCGGGTCCGGCCTAATTATTTCGTAGATAATATGGGAAACCGTTAGGGGGACTCGATTTCCCACTATAAGGCATCTAGGTAATGGGCCCATGACATGACTACCTAGAAGAGGGCCAAAGAAAAAAGAAAAAAAAGGAAAAAGGAAAAAAAGAAGAAGCTAGGATGATGTCTTAGCCGGGAAGTGGGGTAATGTGGATCCGAAGAGGTCACACCTTGCAAAGAAGCACCTGGAGATCTGGAGGACGTGGGGTACGCGGGCTCCTCTGCCGAGAGCAGGATCCGAAGCGGGTCATTCCGCAGGAGCGGCAGTGCCCCTCGGCCATCAACGGCCTTCGACGGGCCCATTTGGACGAATGCCCGTCCTCCGTACAATTCGCATTTCTCTCCTCCTTATTCTTCTTTTTTCCCTTCTTTCCCTCTTCCTCCTTCTCACTCACCTCAGCCTTTTCTTTTGTTAATTGCTGATTTTTGGCCACTGTCTCTGTCACCAGGTACCTATCGCGACACACACACTCTCTTGTATTAAGCTGTAACTATAGTTGCGAGGTCTTTCATAATGTCTCCTGCAGGGTTGTACGTGCGGACGCTCCGAGCCTACGCTCGTCATGGCTCAAATGTAAGTTGACCAACCTACCTGCTACTGGCGCCCCAGGCCAATTACAGAACAGCTCTAGCTAACACAGGCCGGCCACTCTGACAGCCCACTCCCGTTCTCGCCCGCGCATTTTCTGCGTCAGCAAGCAGAGCGGCGATCAATAAAGTCTATCCTTCAGCCAGCGAAGCATTGAAGGACATGAAGTCCGACACAACTTTGCTTTGTGGTGGATTTGGACTGTGCGGTGTGCCGGATACCCTCATCGATGAGGTTCTGAAAAAGCCAGAGATCACGGGTCTGACCGCCGTGTCCAACAACGCCGGTACCGACTCATCAGGCTTGGGCAGGCTGCTCAAGACGAAACAGATCAAGAAGATGATCGCCAGCTATATCGGAGAGAACAAGACGTTCGAGAAGATGTATCTCACTGGCGAAGTTGAGCTCGAGCTGACTCCGCAGGGCACGCTCGCGGAGCGCTGCGCGGCGGGAGGCAAAGGCATTCCGGCCTTCTACACCCCGGCGGCCTTCGGCACGGTCGTGCAGACGGGCGACCTGCCGCTGCAGAACAACCCCGACGGGACACCGGCCAAGTTTTCTTACCCCAAGGACGTCAAGGTCTTCAACGGAAAGTCGTACCTCCTGGAGCACAGCATTGCCGGCGAGTACGCCTTCGTCAAGGCCTACAAGGCGGACAAGCTCGGCAACTGCCAGTTCCGGCTCGCGGCCAACAACTTCAACGGCGCGATGGGACGGAACGCCAAGATGACGATCGTGGAGGCTGAGCACATCGTCGAGCCCGGCGAGATCGCCCCCGAGGCCATCCACCTCCCCGGAATCTACGTCAAGCGCGTGATCCAGAGCACGAGCGAGAAGAACATTGAGAAGTACACGTGGGCCAAGGACGAGAACGACGCCGACGCCAACAAGTCGGTCTTGGGCTCGGGCGACACGGCGGCGAAACGCGAGCGCATCGTCAGGCGCGCGGCCAAGGAATTCAAGAACGGCATGTACGCCAATCTGGGCATCGGCATGCCCATGTTGGCACCGGGCTTCGTGGGCCCCGATGTGGAGGTGCAGCTGCAGTCGGAGAACGGCATCCTGGGTCTCGGCCCGTACCCGAAGAAGGGCGATGAGGACCCAGACCTGATCAACGCGGGCAAGGAGACGGTGACGCTCAACCCGGGCGCGGCGGTGTTCGGAAGCGAGGAGAGCTTCGGAATGATCCGTAGCGGTCGCATCGATCTGACCATCCTCGGAGCCATGCAGGTGAGCGCGACGGGCGATCTTGCCAACTGGATGCTTCCGGGCAAGGTCAAGGGCTTCGGCGGAGCGATGGACCTGGTCAGCAATCCCAGCGCGACCAAGGTGGTGGTCACGATGGAGCACACGGACAAGAAAGGAAACCCCAAGATTCTCAAGCAGTGCGCGTTCCCCTTGACAGGGCGGGCCTGCGTGTCGCGAATCATTACTGAGCTGGTAAGTCCCCTACGGAGCCAACGGGCCCAAGGACGATGTCATGATAGTGTCGAGAAAAGAAAGGAACTGACGAAACAATACAGGGCGTATTTGATGTCGACTTCGCTCATGGATTGACGCTGGTTGAGATTGCCGACGGTGTAACGGTGGACGAGATCAAGAGCAAGACAGAGGCGCCGTTTGCCGTGGCGGACAATCTGAAGCCCATGTTGTGATGAGAAGGAAATAAACATAGAGGTGAAACGAGACAGAGCGGAAGCTCTAAGGGGTGATACAGCGGGAGCATCTTACCATCTCACGATGGCTCACAATGGTAGCGATCAACACTAGGGGTGGGAAAATGGAAAGGCTCAATTGGGAAAGATGGGCCACCTACATGATGGATTATTAAGCAGGTAGATGCATCGTGGAGTTTTTTCGTGTTTATGTCATCATCCCAGACCTACCTATACCTAAGGTTTTCATGCCATCGTGAAGGCCAAAGGGAATAACGCAACAAGTGATGACACAACGTCTCTCTCTTTGCCATCGCATATAAACTTGACTTCCACGGTGTTGCATCTATACGTATAGCGCGAGGCGCCTTCGCAATGTATGACAAGAAGACAGGACACGTATATCGTGAGTATGTGGTCCCGGCAACTTCAGCCCATATGTCTGGTCGCGACTGGGCTAGGCGGACTGAGCTCCCCCTCTGGAAGGGCCGTGGAGGTCAAGGCAGAAAAGGTCCCCGACCCCTAGCCGATATGACCATGCATGTCCTTGTAGACAACATTGGCTTCTTGTCCGAACAACACCTGACCCGCGGCGATCTTCCCGCTCGCTACCTCTGGAGGCTATGGCGCTTGTTGGAGAACAGGTGCGTCTCTCTCTCTCTCGCTTCTCATTCCGGCATCCCACTGACGGCATCGTGTATCCCGAACGCCCTTGCCTTTTATGTAGAGGGACCTGTCTGCAAGCTTGGAAAGTGCTGTCTAAACTTCTTCTCATCGAAGACGGCGAGAAGACGCTGGGTCTATACAAGTATCGACACCACATCTGTCGACCTTCCGAGCCTCTCTCCCATTATACCAAACCTTTAGAATCTCCTTCCTTCGACTTTCTGTCCTACCTCAACATCAGTGGCCCCTGCTCATTTGATAGCATTGAACTGATGGCATTGCCCGAACTCAAAAACTTGGCCGTTCTCGAAATCATTCAGCCTGCGGACGAGTTGCGAACAGTATTCCCCCGTATCAGCGACCGCCTTGTCAGAGGCTGGTCTGAGAAACACGACCCGTTCCCGCTCCTCCGTATCCTACGCGTTTGGGGTGATGAGTCGGTCACAGAGCACTCGTTGCAGTACTTATCCCAATTCCCCTCCCTGCTACTGTACGATGTCAACGGGTCGCGCAGTGACTGGGGTAACGCCGAGACCGTCGCCTCTCTCCACGGCTGGGAGACGGCTGAACCTCTGCATGGGCCTCGGGACTCCTTATTATGGTATCTCATACTTTTCAAGCCGCTCGATGAAGACCAGCCTGGCATGTTGCGTGACCTGGCCAGGAGCATCGACGAGGGCCTCATCAACTTTTGCCAGAACAACAACCAGCCTCTCTCCTTTGTGCCTTCCGAGACTGCGCCGCCGTTCTTGGACTATCTCAACGACGCCGCCCGGAGCAACCTTCCCCTTTACATAGACAGCCCTTCGTCGTACAACGCTCAGAGCTGCAAGGGCTATCCATTCGAAACCTGGGCCTTCTTCCTGAATTCGTTTCTCGGCCAACTGACCAAGGACGAAGACCTCAAGAAAAACCGTGCTGGTGTCACCAAACAAGCTGTCTCTGGTTCCCTGACGCTTCCATCTCGCCCGCTTGCCTGTCTTCAACTTGGCCACTGTGGAAGGTCAGGGATATCACCCACGGTTTCCTACGTGCGCCGTGGCTTGTTTGCGACTTCGCGGTACACGTTCTACAAAAAGGGTATTCCAGGAGGAAACATTCCCAATGCCACGATTCCCAAATCCAAGGAGGTCTCCGCGTCCATGAAACCTCAACCTCAGCTTTCAAGCGTTGAGACAGGCCTCACTCTGAATCGTCAGAAGCGACGGCGTATCGACGATTTGCTTCGGTCATTTACGAGATCGTGACACTGTACGATGAATATCCGGGAGTGTGCGAATGCACGTCAAGAATTCAAATGGCTGTACACCAAAACGGCCCAGACAAGATGGTCTTGAGGGGAATCTCCGGAGTGCTAATAAATGAAACTGGCGGGGGCCACCACATTGCCAAATTTGCCTTGCACATTCTAAGCCACTTCGACAGGAGGGTTAGAGTCTGCCACTTCTTCCAGCAAAATGTCAGTCGCTGTCTTCTGACGTGGATGCGGATATGGGCGTCCAACCAAACCGGAGGCTGTACGGATAACTACTCGGTAGATTCTCGAGGATGGCGCCAGTTGTCATCCTAGTCTCCAGACCTGGCGACTTCACGGCCACCACTGTCATTGTAAGCCACACCTCGTTTCGAGTTTCCTGCAGTGGCTCGAAGCAACATTTCACGAGTACAGACATGCTTATACAGCTTCGGAGGTGGTGTCTTTTAAGACAGGACCGGCCATCTTGAATTTGGATCGTCTCGATACCGCTTACCGCTTTGCGTGGTATTACTCCGTAATAACACGAAGTTTCCCATCGTCCATAGGTATGGCCATTTCTTTATCTACAAGTACGAACAAGAACACCAAGGAAGTCCGATTTCAGTCACGACCACGTTCTAGTCCTACCGCTTTGAGACTCCTCGAGACGACGGACAGATCTCAAATTTACTGACCCAACCCTACTTCCCTACTCTTCACGCCCAGAAAATAGTAAGATGGAAAAGTACGATCTAAGCTGGTATTCGAAGGGTCTGAAACGTCATTTCGATTCATCGGCGCAGCTCATGTTTGCTGCCCTCGTGACCTTCTCCAGATATGGCATCTGTCAAGGGAACGACGACGAGTTCCACGAACTCGTTCGGCTCCGACGCGTAATATCGGAAAGCACCGATCGCCTGATCAAAAGCTTGATGAGATCAACGAGAAGACGCCGGTCCGTCCAACCTTCCCTTGCTGCAGGTCAACCACGACAGAAATTGTCGGCCCTCGCGTCTAGCCAAGATGCCCTCGGCGGGATGATGAACACCCTCATCCCTCGGACTTCCTCATGCCACCCGAACTTCGTCGCACTCGCACTTCACGAGAACGGCGGGTGCCACCATCTATCGTCAGCCTTGCACCGCCTGATCCCTGTGTCCAATTACATTCCTTGCACCCTCGACAACTGGTCCTCGGACAACATCATTTTCGGCCGATGAAACCCCCCGAAGGCGATGCCCAGCAAGAGAAAAGGAGTCTCTATTCCAAGAAGAAAGGAATTTAAATGGGGCCCGATGCTCCGAGACGTCTTGAGTGTCCTGTGCGGAAAATTGGTAGATGGATACATCATACATGCTGCAACCGGGAGCCCCCCCCCCCCCCTTTTTCTCCGGGCGGCGAGACAACATACCGGCCATGGGATGGGCTCCTACAAGACAGTAATTCGTTTCATATTCCAGAGCCTAGCAAAGGTAATACGGACCAAGACGGGCTTCATCGAATTGTACCTCTACGACGCTACAGAGAAGGCGAATATGTTGGCAGCCGACTTGTTGAAACTAAACCCACTCAATGGCACGTCCCCGTCCTGAGTACGGGGATTCGGTGCTCCCAACCGACACAAACCCCGTCTTCCCCCTACCAGGCATGGCCTGCTCTGCCCGCCTGCGAACCAGGGATCCTTATCTCTCTCTGCGTTCATAGCTCTGACATTGACCCGGCTCTACATCCCCCTGAGATCGGAGCGAAAGGTGCGTCAGGCGGTGCAGTCCGCCTTCGAGCACAAGGGCATCCGGGACACTTGAAGATGCGGCGTTGCTCGAGCCGGTACAAGTCATCGCTGTTCGAGCCGGTACAAGTCATCGCTGCTCGCGAGCACGGCTATCTCTACGATGCGGAGACTTTGGGCCGAGCGGAGACCATCGTCCCGGCCATCGACGAAATTGCGAGCCAGGACGGGGGAACTGGGACTGGCCAGCTAGAAAATGGTCAGGGAATGGCAAGGACGTTGAGAGACAATTGTCTCTATATCATTCAGAAAAGCCTGCGCAGGTCGCAATATTTAGGAAAGGAACTGGAGCAAACTTGTCGCACAATAGCCGAATAGCAATATCTGACGAACAAGACTGTCGATTTTAAACCCTTTTCCCTTGGCCTGCAAAGACGACACACTGGGCGGTTGGTTTTGAGGAGCATGCTAGGCTTGACCGCGTGATTTGCTGCCGGACGAAGACAATTCGCAATCGTAAGTTGGCATGGCTGGAAATTCACTCGGGTGCGTTGAGAAAGCATGCCAAGGCCTCCGCAAGTAAGAGTCCCCGTGTTCACTGCCCGAACCCTCTTACTTCATTCAGGGATGCCCGCCAAAGGTCGAACATTCCTTAGCTTGAGGGAAGCAGACGGAGGAGAGTTACATGCTGAATCTCTGGGCAGACAGCTCATTGACTTTTTGAACTACGCGTGAAGACGACCCATATTTATTTTACTACCAACGTGCATTTCTGGCTCAAATGCGAATCCGCGACAAAATAATCGCCATCATCCGAGCATGTCAAACATAGGTAGGTAAGAGACCTTAGTTAACAATGTCGCTAGTCGACGAAAAGTCGCAAATCGTGACCCACGATACGGACTGCTAAGGAATGGCGACGATAGACACGGGGCAAGGGTTGTCGCGTTCAAGATTTTCTCCGGCGCCAACTCAGCGAAGGCTGTCAAAAATAGGCCGGAGGGTAAGAGAACGACGTGGGAGGTTTGGTCTTTCCTCCAGTTTCCCCTCCAGAGAACATCCATGGTGTAATGGAAGCCAGAGTGAATATGAAGGATTGAGTTTTATGATGAAGAAAGGAAAAGGAAAAAAGAAAAAGGTCAAAAGGGACCGCGTCTCTTCTCCCACTGATATTCTCTCTGGGTGTCCACCCGAATTCGCTTAGCGCGGAAAAACTCCGGGTATGGGTGAAAGTCGCCAAGCATGGTCAGATTACCTAGGTACTCAGTACTTCTTCATCGAGACTTTGGGTCACCAATTCACGAACCACAGAAACCGCTCATGTAAGAACAAGTATGATAATCTCCGTCCTAGGGATGATAATTACATGTTTGAGGCATACGACCAACGGATGCGTCGGCTTTGAAAGTGTGCTTGAATTGACAATGTCTTGTGTGTACTTTGCAATATGCCTCGTCTTGCTGACATGTTCAGCATTTTACTGGCGTTGAATGATACGGTACACAATAACCCACGGGCAGTTGGTGAAGTAATTACTTGGAAGACATATATGCGTGCATTAATTCAGCGCTTGACGGGCAGATTAGTGGTTAACCGAGGAATGACAAGGCTCCCAGGCCCAAGGCTGCTGACTTCGGTGCCATGAAGGCCGCACGTTTGTCCTACGCTAGCGTACCTTATCACTGTCTGGGACGGACCTAAATTTGTCATGTTGTATGGGTGTTTGTGTCTAGGTCCACTAGTATGCCAAAGACTCGAAGTATGCCAAGAACCGCGGTGAAGTCCTCTCGCCCATGTCACGCTGAAACGCTGGTCTCTCATCGTACTTCGCATGTATACCTTTATATAGCACTCATAGTTGTAAACTCTTCGGCCACGAGATTATCTCTCGTAAAGAAACCTCGCGTGTCAGGTAGACTTGGTAAGATAAAAAACAGGAAAGGTCAGGAAGTCGACTGTCGGGCACAGGGAGCAAGAACCGGGAGATACTCCATACCTCAGGCGGGGATGAGCCACAGGAGGAAGCACAAGGCCGAATCGAATTGCGGTAGAGAAACGAAACAAAACTAGATAATTCCAATCCGACACATAAGTGGATCGCCTTCACGCAGAGTACCCCTCCTATGCACGAAGAGATGCAGGGCGAGTGGTCGCGTGTCATGGTCGACTTATCCAGGTGGCCCTCGTCAGGCTACTGAGCTACCAGTCGAGTCAAGTCAGGTTTGAGTCGAGACGCGTCTCGACAGACACGAATAAGGTACCTGGAGGGAAAGAAAAGAAGTATTCATACCTGACCTCCATGGTGCCCCCTCTTCGTGACAGCCTTACTCATACTCTACTCCGTAATACGTGCAGGTTTTATGCCCAAGTTACTCGCACTGGTAACTAGGTATTTCAGTACCTCTATGTCTAAAGGTAGGTACCTTTGATTACGGAAAATGCGCCAACCAAGGCTACCTTCCCTTCTCGTTATCATCGATATGTGATCAAGGTAAAATGAACAACACCTACCTTAGGTAGGTACACCGTAAAGTTAATACCCGGTACTTTGTACTGGGTGACCCCCTCCCCCCACCTCGGTGCTTTCAGGCCTGCAGATCCACTGTCCACGTCGTACAAAGTACATGTACATGTACAGTAATTACCCCTCTACCCCGCCTCCAAATGTTGAGACATCAGATCCAACAACATACAAAGTACGAACCTGACATGACCTATTTAAGGTACCAACCTACAACGTACACTCCTTTTCAGGCAAACGACAATACCGTAGCCTATTCCTCCCACTTTGACCCCGCAATTACCGTTGCGCGAAGACGTCTTCTTTCCGCCATCTCTTCTCCGATTTCCACCGTGCCAACAACAACACCTTACCAACAAGACAATCCCAACGAGACTACCAATATGGTCGCCGGTCAGCCAGGTTCGAACTCCCGCGGTCGCGGCGGCAAGTTCAGGACGTACACTAGAGGAGGTATGCCTTCCTGACCCGAGTTCTAGTTCTGCGATAGTACTCATGTTTTTTTCCCCCTCTTTTTTCTTTTTCTTTCGTGGAGATCCAGGCAAAATTCCCACGCACGTCCTTTCCCAAGACAACGACGACGCTAACTCCCATATGTTGGCAGGCGGAAAACATTTCTCTCGAGACCTACGACCCGTAGACGCCGATGGCAACGAAATCAGCATGTGGAGTGCCGATGCCCAACCAAAGTCCATCGATGACTCGGAAGAAGAGGATTCGGAAGAGGACTCCGAGGAAGAGTCGGGTTCCGACAATGACGGCACAGAACAAAGTGGCGCTCTCTCCCGCGAGGAACGCAAGCAAGCCGCCAAGGCCCGTAAGGAGGCGGCCATTGCCAAGAAGAAGGCCCAGGCCGTCGAGGTCGGCGACTTGCCCCCCTCCGACTCGGAAGACGAGGATGAGGAGATTACGAACCCTAATCACTCCCGCGCTGCCCGTGTCCAAACCAACGCTGGCGTAGAGGACGTCACGGCCGGTATCGGGGACCTCTCTACGACCAACCGCAAGGAGCGTGAGACCGCCGAGGCCCAGCTGGCTAAGGAGAGGTATCAGCGCTTGCACGAGCAGGGCAAAACCGACGAGGCGAAGGCTGACCTAGCCCGTCTCCAGCTCATCCGAGAGCAGCGCGCAGCAGACGCTGCACGTAGACAGGTAGGTCCATCCATGCTCGGCACCTCCACAGCCCCTCCTTTTCTCTCTTCCCTCCCCCTCCAGCCAGCTCGTTGCTTCGGAAAAAGGCACTGACCCACGTTTAAATAGGCCGAAAAGGAGGAGAAGTTGGCCCAGGAGGCCGCTCGCAGGGCACAGTTCGAGGATCGGGAGGCGAAGAAGCGTGCAGCGGCCCTTGGTGGCGCCAAGAAGGGCGCCAAGAAAGCGAAATAAGCAGTAGAACGGTACAGACCGTCTCCCCAGGGCACTTATATGCATAGCCTGCCGTACCTGATCTTTCGAGGCAATACTTTCATCAACGCGAGAGGAGGACTGGATCTCGACTCTTTTCATCATAGCATCACTCCCATACATCCCTGGATCAATTATGAGCTCACGAGAGAACTTTTTGAAATATAACCAGACCAGAGTTGTTACGACCCTTCTTCATATTTTTGTTGTGCAGTCTGCTGCCCGACCAAGTGAGAGTCTCTCCCTTCAGAGGTATCCGCGTGGATTGGAGCCCGTCTATGAGTCGTTTACAAATGCCGTCATTTCAGGATTTCTTGGTATTAGTGAGGTGTGTGGAATTATGGCTTCGCCGGGGGACTCTTGAATGCATCGATATCGGTAATCAGAGAGGAGTGGGCGTACCGCTGCCGACGTGCTGTTGCCAGAATTCATCAAAGTCGATACCTTCGTCTGAAAACATGGCCCGGATGTTCTTGGCTGCGTCCACCTGCCGCTCCGGTCCGAAGCCGCCCGGCTGGGTTGATTCGTATTGCACAACCTCAATCCAGCGGAAGAAGAGATCTTCCTTCCCCGCCGCCGCAAGGGCGTCCCGGAATTCAAACACCTGTCTCCGCATGTCATCCTTTTGTTCGCCCGTACCCTGAGGAGGAAGGCTCATCCACCCGTGCTCAGCGTGGTGCACCAACACGACGGACCGGAACGCGTCCAGGGCGACCCGCTTCTCGTCCACCAGGGCGGTAGCCTGCACCATGGCCGCCCAATCGAGATCCCACTCGCCGTTCATGGTCAGATAGCCCGTCTTCTCATGCTGCAGCATCGGCGACGTGGCCCGCCGCACGAGGCCCAGCAGATCGTTCCTCGCCGCGGCGTCCTTCACCACGTCGCCGAGCTCCCGGTCCCATTCCCGGCTACGCCGGACGTAGATCTCCTTCTCGCGGAACCCGACTAGGCGTCGCCACCGCAGCGGGCTCCCGTGCGTCCGGCCCATGGAAAACTCGACCGGCCACGGCCAGACGAAGATGAAGAGCACCAGGTCCAGCATGAAGGTGAAGCCCCGCCGCGCGATCTCCCACCCGATCTGGCCCCACGTGGACGTGTCGACGGGGAAGGTCGTCTCGTTGGGGTGTCCGAAGCCGGACATGAGAAGCTTCCAGTACCAAGGGAGGATGCAGTACATGCGCCAGGCGAAGAGCAGGGACACGATGGCGTTCATGGCGACGGGGACGAGGAAGATTTTGCGCTTGAAGCCGACGGGCTTGAGGTCGATGTGTGTTATGTACACATGCTTGGGGGAGAGGTGCTCGACGAAAGGCTGTAGCACCTCGGGGGGTTTCTTGAATGGCGCTGAGGGTTCGCCCAGCTTGCTTGGGGCTTGTGTAGCCTTGAAGCTTGTCTTGACAGCTCTGACTCTGGGAGCCATATTGAATTGGCGCGCCGTTCGAGGACGTTGGTTTGTGATTTGAATGTAACCAAGGGGTAATTACCTTAGTCAATGTTGAACCTGAGAGCTCATACCTGGTAAGGTAGGTTATTAAGGTAATGAGGGAGCTACGGATAATGTAGCTATCCGTACGGATACGTACCAGATATCTACTAGGTACCTAAGGTAGGTACCTAACCTTATACACGTGTACAACGAAATAACAAGGTACCTAGGTACAGCACTTTGACCGGCATAAAGATTTTCCACCAGGCACCTGAGGAATTACCCGGGTACCTAATAAAAAGATCGTTTATCTTATCAACGACCTAATAACTCCCGGTCAGGTACTTGTAATCAGAAATTCTTGGTCGCGAATCCCAAATAGACCTCGAGAATTTCAACGTGAACTCGACGCTCATTCTTGTCCCCCCCCGCGTCATTGCAACTTCATATGTTGCCCATTCCCCTGTCATGATGCGATGCGGGGCATGGAGGGTATGTTGCCATCAGCTCCAGCCCCATTCAAAACGAGAATCGCTAATAACCGAAACCAGAGTCAGAGCCATGCGTTCATCTGCGTTCGCTGCCGACAACTGAGTAATAGACAACCGCCTCATTTCGCCCTCCGAAGCTACTCAACCGGTCCAAACTCATCGCCCACCAGTACATCTGGCCTATCTGGAAGCTGGGGAGCCCCTAGAGCTCCTAATCAACTGAGGGGTCCTCAGGAAGGTGGTGGTAGTGGATGGGGAGGGGTATCAAAGGGTTTGGGTGCATCCCAAGCAGCTGCTAACGACTCGCCTGATACACTTCGACGATCGCTTGGGGAAACAGAGGCTGGCGAGGAAGATGACGGTCTATTGCCTCACGAACGCGCTGCTCGCCAGAGGATAGCTGCGCAGCAGGTGCCACGGTCACGGTCCCAACCGCAATCACAGGCACAGGCACAGGCACAGCCACCGCCCAATACCTCCGCAGCTTTCGTCAGAGAAGGTCCTCATTCGCACAGAACTCAACTTTATGGGCGGAGGGAACGGAACGGGGGCGCTTGGCATTCCGAAACAGGCGGGTCAAGAGCCGGCAACACCCAGAATCTCGGTGGCCTCGACGACAATATCGGCGCCAAGTCCGCGCGTCCTTCGAGGCTACCAAGACAACCCCACGGGTCGCCAAGACGCCCGCCCTGGGGAACGCACGATGACGGCCGTGAGAGTCGCCATGGTTTCGATGGAGTCCGAGACAAGGCAGAAGCCTGGTCTCCTCCCGAACCGGTGAAGCGTCCGTCTGGGAGCGGCCAGACGCAATCAAAACCCTGGGCAGCTCTGGAACAGGCGTCTCAAAAAGTGGTTGATCAGAACAAAGAATCGCAGCACGACTTCTGGGCGGATCTTGGGAATACGTCTGCACCAAAGAAGCAGCGCAACCTTGATCGAGGTTCTGAGCGATCGGGAGAGTGGGGCCTATTGTCTAGATCCTCAAGAACAGCCAGTCCACCGAGGACTCGCCCCGGCACTCAATCTTCCGGCACGCCTGGCTTCTGGGAAAGGTTCAAGCACCATGTATCCAAGGATTCCGTGGCCGACACTTCAGGCACGAGCACCATACAGGTAGAGACATGGAATATTGTGGAGACGGAGATGGCTGTGAAGCCGGAGTCGGCCAGCCGTGAGCGTGAGCGCGAGCGCGAGCGCGAGCGGGATCGCGATCATGACTCGTACATTATCGAACGCGATCCGAGGAAGCGCGGCAAGGAAATGGACAAAAAAACGAAGAAGAAGCATGGCGCGTCGCGAAGATCCCGGTTCGATGAAGAGGACGATGACAATTGGGACGACGCAACTGAGCGACGTGCAGAAGAACGTCGTCGGCGGAAGGCGGAAAGGAAAGCCCAGAGGGACTTGGAAGTTGAAGCCGTAGAAGAGGCTTCTGGCCCGCCGAAGCTCCTTATCCCCGAGTTCATCAACCTGGCCAACTTGGCTTCTGCCCTAAAGCTGAAGCCCGATTTCCTCCTGAACTCGCTACTGGAAATGGGCTTCGAGAATCTGTCGCCCGACAGCATCTTTACCGGAGAGACTGCTGCCTTGGTGGCGATGGAGTTTGGATATGACGCCTCCGTAGATACTGGAGGCGAACGTGACCTCCGAGTGCGACCGCCACCAGAAGATGTCTCATCGCTACCCCAGCGACCGCCCGTCGTCACGATCATGGGGCATGTCGATCATGGCAAGACCACGCTGCTGGATTGGCTCCGAAAGTCGTCGGTTGCCGCTCAGGAGCACGGTGGGATCACGCAACACATCGGTGCCTTCATGGTCAAGATGTCGTCGGGCAAGTCCATCACATTCCTCGACACGCCGGGTCATGCGGCGTTCTTGACGATGAGACAGCGAGGTGCTAATGTCACCGACATTGTGGTCCTGGTCGTGGCCGCTGACGACAGCGTGAAGCCACAGACGCTCGAAGCCTTGAAACATGCCAGGGCGGCCCAGGTGCCCATGATTGTGGCCATCAACAAGATTGACAAACCTGATGCTCGGCCGGATCAGGTCAAGGCTGACCTCGCGCGCTACGGCGTCGAGATTGAGGATTTTGGCGGAGAGGTGCAGGTCGTCTGTGTTAGCGGAAAGACCGGCGAAGGCATGGAGGATCTGGAGGAAAACATCATCACCTTGTCCGAGATTCTGGACGTCCGCGCGGAACCAGATGGCATGGCCGAAGGCCACATTCTGGAGGCCAGCGTGAAACAACACGGCAAGTCGGCGACGATCCTCATCAAACGTGGCACGTTACGGCCCGGCGACAGCATCGTCGCGGGGACGGCATGGGCGAGGGTCCGCGTTCTCAGGAACGAGGCCGGTGTCGAACTGACCGAAGCTCCGCCTGGCACTCCAGTCGAGGTTCTTGGCTGGCGAGATGAGCTTCCGGCGGCCGGCGACGAGGTTCTACAGGCACCCGACGAGGATCGCGCGCGGACAGCAATTGGCTACCGTATGGAGATGCGCTACCGAGAAGAATCCTCCAAGCAGCTGGCCGAACAGGAGCAGCGGCAGCGTGAGAAGGAGGAAGCCGAGAGAGCCGCCGCCGAGGCTGAGGCTGATGATGTCGAAGTGGACGAAGAAACCGGAACGACCATGGTCAACTTCACCGTCAAGGGTGACGTCGTCGGCTCGGTCGAAGCCGTCTGTGCCACGATCCAGGAACTCGGCAACCACGAGGTCCAACCCCGTATCCTCCGCTTTTCGGCAGGCCAGGTGTCCGAGTTTGACATCGATCACGCGGCCACGTCCCGGAGCACCATCGTCAATTTCAACAACGCGATCCCCGCGCACGTCAAGCGGCTTGCTGAGGACAAGGGCGTGCGGATCTTGGATCACACTGTCATCTACCACCTCTCCGACGATGTGCGCCAGACCCTGAGCGCACATCTAAGCGACACCATCACCCACAAGGTCATTGGCGAGGCCGAGATCCTTCAGATCTTCCCCATCAACATCAAGGGGCGGACGTTCCGCAACATTGCTGGATGTAGAATCCGGAACGGAATGATCACTCGGTCGGGCTCCGTACGTGTGCTGAGGCGGGGTGAGAAGGTCTTCGATGGTAAGCATTTCCCCCCTTTTCGCACCCTTCCCCGTCCCATGCCGCGCCATGCCACAGGACTACTCTCTCCACTATGGAATTCTAACTCGTCACCCCGTGTCTCCAGGCAAGATTGACGCCCTTAAACACGGCAAGAAGGATGTGAGTGAGATGCGCAAGGGCACTGAATGCGGCGTCTCGTTCGACGGCTTCGAGGGCTTCGAGGTCGGCGACCAGATTCAGACGTACGAGGAAGTGAGGGAGAAGAGGACCTTGTAACGATAATATCTATTAGCATCATCCGTCATGTCCAAGACGGCTCTGTCTGTACCATTTATCATTTACCATTTACGATCTGTACCATAGAAGCATTTCAGCGCAAGGGAATAAACGCACCAATCTATTTGTCACCGCTGTTAAGGCATTGTCTCATGGGAGGGGCCGGGGTGATGTTTCTGGCTCCAATGTCCACGGAAAATGAACTGGACGGAATGCACTGGAGGCACCAGATATTGCTTTGTAAGGGCATGATAGATAGGGGTTCTCGGCGAGGATAATCGTCGCAGAGGCCGAGGGAACAAATGGATCGATCTACACATGAAAATCAATAGCCTCTCCTGGCGGGCACTATAATGCGGTTCGCATTCGATAAGCCTCGCTCTAGGTCTACTTTACTTTGGAGTTCCAGATCGGCGCGAAAATATTATGGTGCGCTGCTCCGCCCGGTTAAATGACCATCTCGATTATCTTCTTCTGCTCGACACTGTCTGGCTGCAACGGCACTTTAAACACGGCTGCAGACACGTAGTAGGTAGACCACCCAGCTCTTGTTAACCAAGGAAGGCATGAAATCGCTATGGAATCCCAGTGGGAGAGAAAAACTAGTGACGAAACGAAGGAAAAGGAGTTGACAGGGACCAGGGGGTCCTATAAGGCTCTCGTAGACCCAGACACAAATGAATGCTTCCCCAGTTCAGTTCAGTTCTCACCATCCTATCTGATGCATCTCTTTTCTTCAGGCAATGCTAAATTCGGCAATTAGGCCCATCTCGTTCTTCGGCTTGCCCCCGATCACATAGTCTAACCTGAAGCGCAACTTGACTGTCTCGACTCTCCGCCCTTTGTCGCCGGCGTGGTAGGCCTCCATCGCCTGAGTGATACCCCTGCTCTGCTTTGGCTCCAGGACGACACCGGATTGTGGCTGAAGCTTGAGGACATAGGCCTGTGCAAGTGAAGAGCTGAGTTAGCAAAAGAAAAAAAGAAAAAAAGAAAAAAAGAAAAAAAGAAAAAAAGAAAAAAAGAAAAAAAGAAAAAAAGAAAAAAAGAAAAAAAGAAAAAAAGAA